GTTTGAAGGAAAATCTCTGAACCACCATCCTCCCTGCAGGCAGAACAGCTGCCGGGGTGCTGCCTGTTCCCCATGGCATTCACATGAAGATGTAGGTTTGCCCCAGCCGTGACACTTCCATGCCCTGCTGTCCACCTGTTCACATGGGTGCATCTTCCGCAGCTTTGACCCCTAGCTTCACATTCTCTCTCCTTCCCCATTTTTCTGTGGCTGGAGATATATCCCACAGCAAGAGGTGGAAGTTGCTGTGGTGCTGGTGCACTGCTGTGGGGAAGTGGCGTACCTGCTCCCAGCTGGATGGGTAGAGCAGCATGCCACATGTGCAGAGTGTGCTATAATGGATGGCATAGCATTATTTAGGAATCCATTGTACCACTGCATCTACACTGTCCCCTTCCTCTACCTCACACTTTCCCGCAAGCCCCAACCATTTCCCAAAACTTTTCTTCCCAGATACACTCCTCCAAACCTTGATGTGGCTTTTACCCATCCAACCTCCTCTCCTCTCTTCCCATTTCTTTTACTATAGTACAGTAGCAGAAAATGGCCCCAGGCACCCACAGGACCTGTAGATATATATATATATATATACTTAATTCAGATGAACTCGTTAAGCAAAAATAAATTAGAAAATGAACAAAAAACAATGGAATGAAGTTATTCCTGATCTTAAATTTTTTGAAAAATGACAAACATCTGAAAGTGACTTGGACTGGGATGTTTCATTTGCATATTTGTGTAGCCCATTCAGAGAAAAAGGTGTTTAATGCACTGAACAGGTTTAAAAACTTTCAGTTGATTTAGAAGTGGAAATGAGCTGCAATAAGGTATTGCATAAAATATTCTAGCACTTTTCTTAAGGGTAAAATTATGAGAAATTTTTTAAAAGAAAGCTAATTTTAAAAAATAGTTTGTGATTTAAAGCTGAAAATTCTGTGTCATACTCCTTCTGAAGCTAACTGAGCCTTCTAATTTATTATATCAAAGTAGATTCAAATGGGGTAACAAAATTTATTATCACCTTTCACACTGTAATTGCTGTTCTTAATACGCCTCCCTGCCTTGTGGGTTGGGAAATCCACGCCATTTGTGAATCATCTCCTGATTCCACATAATTTGCAACCTGGCTCTGAACAACAGGGTATGTAGCTGAACCGAGAGAGTGAGCAGACTGATGGGCAGGTGTAGTGCGAATAAACTATGAACTCTGAGCCCAGAACTGAATACCTATAACAAGGCAAATCTGGGCAAGACACCATAGAATCACAGAACTACTGAATTGCTTGGGTAGGATGGGAACTTAATGAGCAGCAAGTTCTAATCCCCTGCTGTGGGCAGGATTGCCACCTGCTTCTTTCCTATAGAAGTTTTGTCAGCAGAGGGTTTTGTAGATGCTCTTTTGTTGTACTTTCATGTTAGACTTACTCCAGCCTAACTGTGAGGAGGAAACACTCCCTCTTTTCTTGAACAGGCTGTTGCTGCTACCTTTGCTTGGGCATAAGCATGACTGCCCCTTTCCTTGTCAGCCTGTATTATCGTACCATCAAAAAATCCTAAAATTTCAGCCTTTGAAAGCAAGTATACAAACAAGGATTTGTGCCCATTTGCATTTTATTTGTGGTTGTGTTGGGTTTTTTGTTTGTTTTTTTGTTTTGTTTTCTCCTCAGTTGCTCTCTGTGTGGTTTTATAAACTGAGGCATTTCAGTGGAAAAGCCAATTTCTTACCATTGGAGATGTACGGACTTCTACCATTTGGATTATTTTACTGGGAGAAAACAAAACAAAACAAAACACAACAATAAAAGTGCTTGTACAATGGCTCTAGGCAGCTTTGGAAAGATCAAAAGCTTCAGGACTACAGCTGAGCAAACAAAACATATATTCAGTGCCATTGGACTAACATAGCTTGGACATAAGTTTATATAACAAAGCATACATTGTACATCTCAACTAGGCTGAGGCCTCTTCTGATTTTGAGTACCACCCTGATTTATGCAGCATTTTACTGAATTGTTTAACTTCTCACTTTGTTGTCTTTGGCACTACTGCAGGAATAGTCTGTTTGAAAATTCATGTACCATCATCAGTCTTGATTCCTCTGGGAAATTTCTTTTCTTTTTTTTTTTAATATAAAAAAGACATTTTTCCTGTGTTGATGTTAGCAAAAATAGATTACTTTTAAAATTTCTATACTATTGAAACTGGTTCTGCTGCTTTTAGCTAAAGTAGTACATTTAAATGTAGTTTGAAATATTCACATGCAATAAAAATGGGTGGAAAAGCCTCCTTCTCCCTGTTTTCTTGCAGCAGTTTACATCCTCATAGAGAGGCCCTGAAGAGCTCTGGGGAGGAGAGCACAGAGGTCTGTGGGCAGGTGAGGCATGTATAGTGAGGCTCTCAGCAGCACCAGCTGCTGCTTTTAGGTTTGAAATCAGGATTAGGCTTGAATTTGCATCATTACAGCACCAGAGACTAAGGGAGCAATATACAAGTAAATAGGCTCCTGGGGATCCATGAGAAACACAGACTTAAGGTATGGGCTGCTTTCTTATGCATAGTTGTCAGGGCCCCCTTTCCCTCCTGCCTTTGATAGGAAGAAAGCTCCAGCTGTTTTATCAGATGGAAACCAGCGTGAAAGCAGAACTGAGGGAAGACACCTGCTCATCTGTGTGCTCTCTTGTTCAGAGATGTGTCTGGAAGGCTTGCAGTCATTTGGTCACTTGCTGTCTCCAACAAATTTCAGAAGGACTCATCTCTGAGACCAGGCTGTGCTCCTCTCTCTCACGACCACTTCAGCCCTCACACTAGCGCAGCCTGCTGAATTTTACTGGGAGAAGGCAACATATGGTGCAAATGATTTTCATGTGCACAAAATGCACAAAGCATTAACATTTTCACTAGACTGGATCTATCTTAAGCTGTTCCATGGAGAGGGAATTATTCATAAAGAAGATGTTGCTGACTACAAGAAACTTGAAGACATATTTATTGAGTCTACTCACAAAAAGAATGAAAACATAGCAGAACGTAAATAGAACAGCTTGCATGATATTCAGTCTCCTACAATGTTTACAGAATTTGCTTAATGGTATGTATACAAGAACCAAAATAATCATACTAAATTTTGTACATGTCTGTGTGCAATAAATTGCTGAATCTATTTACAAAGGCTCCAAAGTGGAGAAGCTTCCTGAGCACAGAAAAACAGCATGGGGCCAGGAGTCCAAGGGCTTCACTTACCACTCTCTGCTCTCTCACAGAGCAAAGAAGAGGCAGTGCCTTTTCCTGTCTCTTCAAAGACCCCTGGAGGGTCCTTGAAATGCTGGTGGTGATCCCTGAGGTGATTTGAGGTGAGCATAATGACTTTATCATTCATTCTTTAATCTCTTTGCCCTTTGAAACATAATTACAATCTACGTGCAATTTTCATAAGGTATCCAGATGCACATAAAACATTTAGGTGCACACAACCTAACAAAGAATCATAGAATTACAGAACCATAGAATGAATATCCCATGTTGGAAGGGACCCACACAGATCACTGAGTGCAGCTCCTGGCTCCACACAGCACCACCCAACACTCAAACTACACTTCTGAGAGCATTGTCCAAATACTTCTTGAACTCCATCAACTTGGATGTCAGGGGGAAGTTCTTTACAGAGAGAGTGGTGAGGTGCTGGAACAGGCTGCCCAGAGAGGTTGTGGATGCCCCGTCCTTTGAGGTGTTCAAGGCCAGGTTGGATGGGGCCTGGGCAGCCTGGTCTAGTATTAAATGTGGAGGTTGGTGGCCCTGCATGTGGCAGGGGAGTTGGAGATTCGTGATCCTTGAGGTCCCTTCCAACCCTGGCCATTCTGTGATTCTGTGATTGAGACTGTGGTTTCTTCCCGTGACAGCCTGTCCCAGTGTCCAGCTAGCCTGAAGGAAAGAACTTCCTGCTGTCTCCCTTGAGTTCTTATCAGGATAGGAAAGGTTAATTTTTCTTCAGTAATTTTGTCCAATGTGGACAGATGGACAGAAGTATTGTGCCAAAGTGCTTCATGTTGTTACAAGTAACAAGATCATCATCAAGCAGACATGATCCCCTTTAAAACTCCATGCTCAATGCCTAGATACACCTTAGCAAATGTTTCTTCAGGTGATATTCTGAACCTTCCCAAAGAGCTCTTTCGAAGGAAGGCTTAGTTCCTCCATCAGGAAAGCCATAACAGCCGAAAACAAACCCAGCTGTAGGTTTTCTGTCTGTTAACACCTACAATACAAGAGGTCTGCACATGTTACAGGTTTTTTTTGTGTGTGTGTGTGTGTGCCACAAACTGGATGAGAACTCCAGGGGCAACCTGAGCATCTCCACACCCAAGTACAGCAGGACCATCAGCCAGCGTACTTCACAGCATATCCATTGCTGTGGCTCTCTGATTTTTCACCTCTTTTCCATCAGGGAAAGACAAGTCTTTCCTTTCAAAGAAAACTATCCTGTGAGAGCACCAAGGCACGCACGCGAGCGCTGCACCCAGTACGAAGCAGGGATGCTCTGGGACATGGATGCTGATCCAGGAGCCGGGAAGCACACAGACTCACGGAAAAAAGAATTTTGAATCCACCTGTAGTTCTTTAAAGCTCTTTCCGTTCGCTCTGAGAAACAGGAACTTCCCGTTGTCAGAAGGCAGCTTTATTTTCGGATGAGCAACACCACACACAACGGAGAACACGACGCGCCGCGCAGGGCGTCGGGCGCATTGTGCTCCGCGCTCTAGGATCCGAGGGCGGGCCTCGCACCTCGCGCCGCGGCCTGGCAGGGGCGCGCAGGGGGAGCGGAGAGGCCCCGGGGCGCAGCCCCGAGCAGCGCCCGGGGCCGAGGCGGGCGCGGGCCGCTTTCCCTCTAGCCCGGGGCGGCCCCGAGGGGGCGGGCGGGGCGGGGCGGCCCCCCGAGAAGCGGCGGCCGCCGGAAGTTCCCCCTCCCGGCTCGGAAGTGACGCCGCGTGCACCTTCCCCCCTCCCGGCAGCGGCGGCGGAGCCGGGTGCGGCTGGCGGCGGCCCGAGGCGCGGCCGGGCGGGATCATGGCGGACGGCGTGGACCACATCGACATCTACGCCGACGTGGGCGAGGAGTTCAACCAGGTACGGGCCGGCGCGGCCCGGCCCCTCCTCCCCTCGCTTTCCTTTTTCCTTCCTCGCCCGCCTTCGCCGCCGCGCCGCCTGCAGGGCCCTCCGCGCGGGGCCGGGCCGGGCCGGGCCGCGCCGCGCCGCCATTGTTCGGCCGCCCCGCCGCAGGGCTTTCCCGCCGCGCCGCAGGGCGCTCCGCGGGGCGGGACGGGACGGGACGGGACGGGACGGCGCGAGGCCGCGCCTCAGGCCCGGCCCGCGGGGACTCGGGGCTGGGCCGGGCGGGGAGCGGCGGCGCTCGGGGGCGGGAGCGAGGGAGCGAGGGAGGGAAGCAGGCCGCGGGCGGGCGCCTTCCCTCCCGCTCTCCTCTCCCTGCCGAGCGGCCCCTTCCCGGCGGCGGCGGCGGGGAGCGCTGCCATTGTTCGCGGCGCGGGAGGAGCGGCGGCGGCGGCCCCTCGGGGAGGCGGGAGGAGCGCGGCCTCGTGCCGCTGGGGGGACCGCAGCCCGCCCGCTCTGCCCGCGCTGCTCGGGCGCTTCGCGAGCGGAGGGGATTGATTTGCGTGAGGAAGTGGCGGTGAAACGCGCAGAGCTTCCTGGATTGCTGACTGACTGACGGACTGACTGATTTCTCTGGTTCCTTTTTCGCTCGCCTTTCCCCCACGAGCCGCGTTCCTCCCTTCCCACCAAAAGGCGATGTTCCCATCGGGTTTGTGGACCATCCGTCCCGTGTGCGGCTGCCGCGCTTCTCGGGGCGGCGCTGGCCCAGAACGGAGCTGCCGCGAGAGCCCCGCGCTCACGGGCTGCCTGAAGAAGACAGCAGGGTTCGACCCACGAACAACTCATAACTGCCCCAGCAAACTTTGAGGTCTCTTCCAGCTTAAGCTGTTCTTTGATTCGATCTCAGCGGCTTTGGTTTTGTGTTAGTTGCTTCCACGTAAAAAGCTGATAACGAACCAAGTTCTTCAGAAAAAATCATTTGAATCCAGTAGTGCTGGCATAAATTTGCATAGGGGGGAGACCTCCAAGTGCTGCAGTTTGTGGCTGTAACCCTCGTGCAGACAGATTTTTTTTTTTAAATTGTTTAATTCTTGCAAAGTGTTTCTGTTTATTCTTTTCCAAGCTTGAGTTCTGGGACTTTCGTGTTGTCTCAGAACCTACTCAGTTGAACTATATTACATTAAAATAGAAAGTTAGACTGGCAAAGATTGACACCTCTGCACTTTCCATTTCCTTCTGCAGAGCAGGAACAAAAGCCAATTGTTACCACCTACAGTGCTGCTACCTCTAATTCTGATGCCATTGTGATGAGTCCTCTTGAAACCTCTATTCAGGGTTTCTGATTTGAAGCTGACAGCTTGAATTAATAAGAGAGGACTTACAGTTCAGCATGTCTGTGGAGGGGTGAAGATGACAATTGTCAAATGCTGTAGGGAGAAAATGATGGCAATTTGATGGTAATTTATGTAACAGACATTTTAGGCAATGCTATATTTCTAACGAAAACTTGTTTTATATGTAAAACAACATACTGCTCTTGAATTGCATGCTGCTGTGGTCACTTGCCAATATTAGTTGGACTGCAGGAACCCTTTCCATTAGTTTTGTCAGTAGCAGGGACTGAAAACATACCGTGTAGCTTTTTCATTCTTCCAAGTACAATGTAACTGTATTTATAGCAGAGCTGGGACAGAATGTTTGTATTTGTAGGAAATAAATCTTTTAGGTTTCATGGCTGAGTGAGCCCTTCGTTGCTCTGTCCTGCTCTGGTCCTCAATGTGCTCATCGTTGGAGCTCTTTGGGGGTTTGTTTTATGCCTGCTTCCATGAGGTGGGAGGATGTTCTGCCTGATTAGCACTAAATGAAGTATGGGTTACAAGGCTGAAGTAAAAACTCCAGACCCCAGGTATACAGGCTGGCTACACTGAATGAAAATTGCAGGTTGCAAAGAGCTGGCTCACTGGACTTGAAGTCACATCTTTGCAGTGAAAACACAGCTTTCCATCTGGTGCTCATCAAAACTGTATGTGCCTGTGTTGCCTCTTTCATTAATCTGTTGTCCGTCATAATTGTGTCCTTTGTCCTCGTGTTTAATGCCTTACTCAATTTGTCTCCCATCAGTTGTATTTAAATTGGTTTTACTGTATTTCCATTTCATTCCTATCCCCCCCGTACCTCCCTTCTTTTCTTGATAATTTGCTCAATTCATTTTTTATTTTCTTCTAAGCTGGCTTCCCCATCCAGCAGTCTTTCATAATTATGTCGTGTCTTGTTCTGGACTGAGAGTCCCATAACCATAGTATTTTTGCATGCATCTCTTGTGACCTGTATGAAATACGTGTGGCACAGCGTGTTCTGGTTTGCCCGTTTCCACAGACATCTACGTCTGTGCTGTGCACGAGAGTGCATTATCTGCATACAAGAAGCTGGCATCCTGTTGGTGGCAGAAGACCATGGTAAGATTAGAGGTGCTTTAGAAAGTGTTAGTGTGTTTTTGTACTCCACAGTACTGAGTGTCACAGCATGATATCGAGATAGTGAGAAGCCTGAGCGTGAGGCTGGCGTGGTTCTGCCTCAAGGTTTCCTGTACCTTTGGCCATTGATCTGGATTACTTTCCTGCACTGAAGATGTGACACCACACTGTAAAGCTCTCTCATGCTCTGATTGGCTTTCTTTTCCTCAAGTTTTTTTTTTCTGTATGTGAATGCACGCACATGCTCATAAATAAAATAAAATTAAAAAAACATGCTACACACTATTTACCACCATCTTAAATAGTAAAATATTTTTTTGTGTGTGTGTGTATATGTTTGTTTTGTTGTTTTATATCCTCTGCTTGATCAGAAGTACCTTTTATTTTAATGCTGTGGGAAAAAAAAGTACTTGTGCTGTTTATATCCTGATAAGTGTACTTGCGTGCTTGCATAGTGGGTTTCTGTAAACATACCTTGAAGAGTTCTTGTTCAATAATTAAATACTAACAAATTAGAAATAAAAGAGCTTTGACTTTGTATTTTGTAGCTTGAGGTGGAGAAAGCAGCTGAGAGACTTATTATGTGGGAACCACTGTGGCTGTAGATTCTTAGGGACGTGTTACTCTCTCAACTTCTTGTCTAGAACACAAAGAAAAATACTTTTTGTTTAATAAATAATAAAGGCTATCATTTATTGGTTGTGTAAAACTGACTACTAAAAACAGCCATAATGTCAAGAAGGCAACTGCTGTCTTGGAGGGGATGGGTATGTTGTGACATGATACCTTTTTACTCAAGAGCAGTACTGTCTTGGTCATGAGGAACTGGCAGTAAGCTGGCAGACCTTGTGTTTGCTTTAAAAAGTTTGTGTGATGCCTTTCTGTATGGCTGGTTTTTCTTGGTTGTCTTGGTCTACTGACCAAGAGATCTACTGAAAGGACCCTGGACAGGAGGTAACCTTTGTCATTTGCAAATACCAATCAACAAAGAAAACCTGAGACCGTCTCAGCTGGGGCCTGTTAGCTTTGCTACAATGCAAACAGTGATACTACCTGCACTTCCTTTATGCTTTTGACTGTGTGCGAGTTCGTTCTTCTTGCAGTGGCCAACGGATCGGGTTGCTCACATGTTAGCCTTGTGCTGCTGGTAGAGCTGTAATGTCTGGGCCTTTAAAGTTAATGGGAGTCTTGTGGGCTAACAAACTTGTCCACCACGGGCTGTGTGCTATTTTGGAAACAAGGGCTGTTGTTTTCTTCCAGTTTGTGCATTCAGACAGCTAATCAAAACCAGAAAGACTTCTGCCTGTTCCTTCAACTTGTGATTTTTCAGGACCCACGGATGTTTTTTAAAGTGAGATTGTTAACATCCATTTAAAGTTTTTGACTGCATATACTGTAATTTTGAATTGAAAAAGTGGTAAAGGAGAAGGTGAATAATTTGCTTTTTAATAATTAAGTGATTTTCTCATAAATTATAGAAAATTTTAAATGGAATTTCATCTTTTTTTAAATATCTTTTAGGGCATGTAGCATATGACTCTCAAATAGCACAGAGAGAAGAAGCAAATCTCAGATATCTCAGATGAATGTGCAGTTAAAAGAACTTTTACTTCCTCACCGTTCTACCTCCCCTCCCCCCCCAAAAAAAGGAAAAAACTGTTTTCCTTTGTAAGGGGAGTCAGAGAGACCAGGTATTTCTGGGGTGCACAAGAGTAGGGCTGCTAAGTTTCAAAACAAAGTAACACTTTTAATTTATCCTTTCTGGACGTGATGGTGATGCTCCATGTATTTGCCTTTCTCGCTTGAATGTTGCAAAATGCTGCAAGCAGTGATTGAAACACAAAATACATGGGAAGGGCTGAGTAACTGGAAGCGTAATAGCTAGTCTGGGGTGAGTTTTTGACAGTGTATTTTTTCGTTACCCTTTTTATTCACCAAAGCCCATTGAGTAACACTGAGTGTGAAATTTCAGTCCTGATTTTCTAGAGCAAATGACGTTTGATTTCAGGCAGAGATCTTGTTAAAGCGTGATCTGTGGAAACACTGCTACTCTGATTTGGGTATAGAAGGAGTGACAGTGATGGTGCTGACTTTTCTGTAGGATGTTTATCTGTAAGAGTGTGAATGACGATGAGCAGAAATCCTTTCATGCTCGATGGCTTTCTCTTATAACTAAGGAAGTCGGAAGATGTCAAAAGCAATTTGTGATCTGGGTGGAATGTTTGTTGAAATAGCTAAGAGTAGAGAAGTGAGGCTGCTTGGGTTCTTCTTCATCTACATCTAGGGAAGAAGGGTGTGTTTGGGTGAGTTTCCATGGTATGCATATGAAAGAGGAAGGGTTATTGGATCTTGTGTAACAGCCATTGAGCCACTGCATTCCATGCTTGCTGCAAAACCAGCATGATGTAAGTAGAAATTTTAGTGAGCAGTGTCAATTTTTTTTTCTTTATTGATTTAAATTAAGGCATCATTGGGCCCCAGAAAAATTAGGTGCAACGTGCACTGTCCTGCTGATTCTCTATGCTGTGATGGTGATCTGAAAGTCTACAGAACAGAAACTCAAGCCAGTTCGGAGGAGTTTCTTGCCAGTAAAGAAGCACAGCATAGCTGCAGACTCTTACCTGTTCCTGTTGGTATTTTGGCAGTGCTGGCCTCAACCTTCTCATAGATGGAGGTTAGTGTACATCTGCTGTAAAACTGGTGGCTGCTTGTTTGAATCTGTCCTCCAAGACTGCATTCTTCTTTCCTAAAGTCATCATCTACACACATAAATGGCAAGAATTGCTGCACGTTTAGTAGAGGATTTCCTTAATTGCCTTGTGACATCGCTCTTAATCTTACCATCAGATAGCATGTTGCAGCCTGTCCCAGGCAGTTCTTTGACCTTAGTTTCATTAATTACAATGATACGAGAAGTCAAATGTAGGTGGAGAACTGAACAGAATGAGTGAAAATGCAAAACTTTATTAATTTAGTGATGATAAACTTACTTGGGAAAACATTAATTTTCAGTTGAAGTGTTGTATTGCACTAGTGCAGCTCACTGAGAGTCAAACCTACTTGACTGACAAAGCCAAAACTTGCATATCTGACTATTTATTCTAGTGATATTCTTCTAAGAACAGCAGTGAATAATGAATGTTTTCATATTTTCAAAAGAGCTGATATCTGACGATGACTGTGGATATATTTGGTTTTCAACCAAGACTGCCAGCTTTGCAGCTTGTTTGCTGTGGAATCCAGGCTGATCCTCTCTAGTCACCGTATCTGTTATTCTGAGTTACTCTGTTAAGGATGCTTGTGTGGGTTTCTAAATACAAAATCACGAGATAACAGCCACTGAAATATCTCTGATATCAAAGCCTGGTGAGGCAGTCTCTGTTCTGAATCATTGTGGATGAGTCCAGGAATGTTCTGCAAACTTCTGAAGTTGCAGCCTTTGCGTATGGCAAAGCAACTTTTGCAAGTCAATATAAAGGCTCTCTTAAGCTTTTTCCATAACTTCTCAAGGAGCAACAGTGGTCTGCCTTCCTGTCAGTAGAAATTGAAATGGTGCCTCTTTTTCAGGCAAATTGGGCTGCCTATCATAGGTGACTGCTAGGGTAGCAACATTCCAGCATAGGAATTGATCACTGTTGAATATCACAGAATGGTTTGAGTTGCAGAGGACCTTCAAACCGTACCAGTTCCAAGCCCCTGCAGTGGGCAGCTCAGGCTGCCCAGGGCTCCATCCAGCCTGGCCTTGAACCAGCTCCTCTAAGCAGCCCATGCCAGTGCCTTACCACACTAATTGTGAAGAATTTCTTCTTTATATCTAGTCTAAACCTACCTTCTTATAGTTTAAAGCCATTACCCCTTGTCTTATCACTACACTCCTTGCTAAAGTGTTCCTCCCCAGCTTTCCTGTAGGCCCCCTTCAGGTACTGGAAGGCTGCAATGGGTCTCCCTGGAGCTTGCTCTTCTCCAAGCTAAACAAGCCCAGATCCCTCAGCCTTCCTTCATAGGAGACGTGTTCCAGCCCTCTGATCGTCCTCGTGGCCTCTTCTAGACCTGCTTCAATGTATGATGAATGGAAGTGTATGAAATTAAATGCATTGTGGGAAGTGTTGGTTTTTTTTTTTTTAATTATTATTTTCCCCTAATGCATTGCTTACATGGTCTGCCTCAGGCTAAATTTCCTCTGGTCTTTTGGATCAAATACTTCATCCTGTCTTACCATTCAAAGATATCTGAGGGACCATAGGTTGATTTTGACTCATCTGTTCCCATTTAACAGGTAGTATGCAGTTTTTGAGTACATGAAGCAGAGCTTTTATAAATAAACTCATGGTTCTATTTCCTCTGAAAGGAATCTAGTTCACTTGGACAAAACTGTGCTGTAAACTGTACCAACCTGAGGGACGGGGTGATTCACTCCAAAGTCCCATGATACTCTTCTCAACCAGAGTGTTCCAGAGGTAGCCTTGATGTTGCAGAATAGTTCCTTTGTAGCCCAGGAATAAACAAATATGCAATGCACACAAACCCAATGGTTTGTTAAATTTAATGACATAAAATAGAATTCCATTCTTTCACTCCATGAACTAGGAGATAAAAATAAAATTAGGAATGCAGTAGAAATCTGAAATGCAGAATTTTATCAGTGCAGACCACTTCAGGTTTGATCTTTTCTTTCTACCAAATATTTTCATGACAAAAATTGCTTGCTGATATTAGCCTGTTGTTTTGCACATTGCCCATACTTGCTCACATCTATAATTGTGGGAGTAGAGCTTGTGCTTTTTAGTTTTCTGCTAAAGGTAAAGAGTGTTGCAGTGCAAAGCAGTTGCTGGAGGTGTATTTTTGTTTTTATCAGTTTGGAATACGGTAGAAGACGTAAGAATTTTATATATTTAAATATGGTTGAAGTCGGGGCTTAGCTTTTCATTACGGACGTTGTGTAGGTGTCAGGTCAAGCTGTCTGTGGGAAGTGGCAGTTGTCAGACTATTTTGTTTCTGAGAAGTGTTTAATGTTAAATATAACCCAGGTGCTTCGTGTATTTTAGGAAGCTGAATATGGTGGACATGATCAGATTGATTTGTATGATGATGTAATCTCTCCGTCTGCGAATAATGGAGATGCCCCAGAAGATCGTGACTATATGGATTCTCTCCCACCTTCAGTTGGAGATGATGTAGGTAAAGGAGCTGCACCAAATGTTGTCTACACATATACTGGGAAAAGAATTGCCTTGTACATTGGAAACCTTACTTGGGTAAGTATCTTATTCCTATCCAGGAGCGGCCAGTGATTTGGAAGTTACAAACGTGATTTGTCGTGAAATAATTTTTATTTGAAGAACTGTGTTTTCAAAGAGTATAACAAAGGAGGACAATAAGCTTAAGATATCAGGTATCTTGGAGATACTTTAAAACTGTCAAACAAACCCAGTTTTAAGTGAGCTCTTACTGAAGTTTTTAGACTAAGAAGAAAACAAGGTTATCTGGGATTTTCTTACTTTTTGCCTTTTTCCTGTTTCCTTTTTGATTGTTGGAACAAAGCTGTTTTCATTTGCCTCGAGGCTTCTTTTTGCATTCCTGGGAGTAACATCTCTAGGGTAACTCACTGAGCTCTCATTTCCCTTCAGACAATTCCTTTAGTCAGCATTAAAGTATTTTAAAATCAGTTGTAGTTAAACAACAAAAGTGCAAGTAGCTCTTCAACAGCTAAATTAACTGGAACTGGTTTCTCTTTACCTGAAATCCATTTCGTTGAGTCCATGCAAGCAAAATCTCCCTTTTTTTTCCTTCTGAAGAAATTTTTGCTAGGTGGAAGCTTGAAAAAGAATGCTTTATGCATTCTTAAGTGTTTTTCATTAATTAGTACAGTAACCTAATTTCAGCAGCTAATGGCTAAGTGAAAGGAGTTAATTGACTTAACAGTTGTACCTCTCTAAAATACAGGAATGTAATCAGCTGAGCTCATCCAAGTCAGATGTCACAATTTCTAAAGTAGATAAGCCAATGTGCAGTAATTTGTACCTGTTACTCGTTATTAGGCTTTGCAAATGAAGTTATCCAGTGAAAGTAGACTTGTTTGAGCATTACTATTGTGTTTGTTTTCTTTGTGTTTAGATCTCAGCAAAGTAATTCATTAATCTTTTAAAAGAAGCCTTGATTTGAGGAAGGTCAGATAACTAATTCAGGATCTTGAAAGCCTGCTTTGTACTTCCCACATAGAATTTAAAGAGGTGATGGAGTTACAGGAAGAGGAAGAAAACTCTGAGTATAAATGTTTTGTATCCCTTTGAGTATGTGTGAAATTGTTGAATGTTAGATAGTAACTAATGGGAAGTTACAGCAGGGAGATTTGGTTAAGATGAAATAGTTGTTACTATGTTTTCTGTGCTAGTTTCCTGTTTTTGTCTGTGAATATTACTATTTTTGTGCAAAATAATATGTGGTTCACTAGGCCCTCACTGGTTAAAGCTCTTGGACTGAGCATGTGTGTTAATATGGTCTTAAAAATTGTTTTTTGGTTTTGAAATAGAATCAATGGGAGAAAAGAAAAAATGGATTGAATGTCAAAAAATGTGGCAGTTATTTAAATAGTTCAGTTTAGGCTTAATACTCTTTGGAAAAAGTGCTTTCACAAAGTTACTCAGGAATTTTTTTGGTACCCATGAGCTGGTTTGCTGTGTGGAGGGGCTTGGACAGCATGGCGTGTGAAGCTCATACTTCAAAAATGAATTTTCTGGGCATTGTATTGTATAAATGATGGTCCTCTGAGAGTCAGAAAATACTGACAACTTGTGTAAAGTATTCCTCTTCACCACTTATACTACAAAATAAGAGCGTGGAAAAGTGTCAAAGTGTTTTAGGTAAGATTTCATAGTTGAATATTCATATTTTTCAGTGGACAACAGATGAAGACTTAACTGAAGCGGTTCATTCATTGGGGGTAAATGATATTTTGGAGATAAAGTTCTTTGAAAACCGTGCTAATGGCCAATCTAAAGGGTAAGATCTTGTCGTCTGCTTTTTCTGTAAATTGGCTGAAGTTTAGGAGAGTCTAAGAGGGGAAAGAGTTCTAGGTTTTTCTACTGTCAGTATTTGAACTTATGGCCCTCATGTATTGATAGCCAACAATGATTGAGTATATTATTTCAGATTAATTAAATTCCAGGCATAAATTTTATGGGAATATTACTTTCTTCTACTTAATGAGTTAAATTATATTGGCATTTAGACTGGAACAGGTTGCCCAAGGATGCCCATCCCTGAAGGCATTCAAGGCCAGGCTGGATGTGGCTCTGGGCAGCCTGGTCTGGTGGTTGGCGACCCTGCATGTAGCAGGGAGGTTGAAACTTGATGATCATTGTGGTCCTTTTCAACCCAGGCCGTTCTATGATTTATGTGAAGACTCTATTCCTAAGTTTCAGTTAGTGTGGTGGTGATGTATGTTGTTCTTCATAATATAAATGCTATTTTTACCTATCCCATCCCTGTTACTGAATGGTTTTAAATGCTTGTTTTTCCATTAACTGTTGAAAACAAGCACTTGAGCTGATTCCTCACTGGCAGTCTAATCTTCGTTACTTGACTTTGCTCTCAGTATTACTAATGAGAGTAGCCACGAGAATACAGTGAATTCTTAATAACAACTTGGTTATAACAATCCATAGATAGTATATTGATACTGTGTCAGAAAGCTACCTTTGTTGCGTTGCTGCATCTGGGACTTACATTGTGGTTCTTCATCTGTGTCCTAGAGTGAATTGCTTTATCTGTTTCTAAAACTGGACTAAGACTTGGGAAAGATTCTATATTTCAAGTATTCTTCTGCTAACTGTGATAAATGTTACTCGTGAGGTATCAGCATATCCAGGGAACAAAAAAACTGCAGTGTGACTGTTTTTTCCTTCTTTTCAGGTTTGCCCTTGTGGGTGTGGGATCGGAAGCATCCTCCAAAAAGTTGATGGATTTGTTGCCTAAAAGAGAATTGCATGGGCAGAATCCTGTTGTGACTCCGTGTAATAAGCAATTTCTGAGTCAGTTTGAAATGCAGTCAAGGAAAAGTAAGACTCTCTCATGTGCCATCTTGGAAAAATTGGAAGTTTATTCCAAAAGTCCCCTGATTTTTCTTTCAGTATCTGATAATTTCTGCACAGTTTAAAATTTCTATAAAATACTTAAGTGAATGAAGTTACGAGTTTGTTTAAAAAAATAAAATAGAAGATCCTCTTAAAAACTGAAAATAAAAGAAATCATTCAATATAATGAATGTCTGTGATTTTAATAGGAGATAGGACTTGTTGGAAGTGCTTATTATGCAGTTTTGTAAAACTCTTCTTTAGATTGGAGAAGCTTTCTCAATTCCTTCTTGTGGATTTAATTTTAAAAAAGCATAAGAATATTTAGAGGTACAGCATTTATAGGCAGATTAGACTAATTTCATGGACTGACAGTTTCTCCAGTTCCATTGGTGTGCTGTGGGGATACTGGAACACTGCTGAATCTTAGCGAAGCGTTTGCTTCTTTTTGGCACTGAGGATCAAGCTGGTGCTTTAGTGCTGCATAAAACTTTAGATCAAGAATTGAAAAGCTTTAAACTATTTTGATTTTCCATAATTAAATTTTTCCACTGCAGCCACACAGTCTGGCCAGATGTCTGGGGAAGGTAAAGCTGGTCCACCAGGAGGAAGCTCAAGAGCAGCATTTCCACCTAGTAATAGAGGGCGAGGCCGTTTCCCCGGTGCCATTCCAGGTGGAGACAGATTCCCTGGACCAGCAGGGCCAGGAGGGCCACCACCACCATTCCCAGGTAAAATATTTAGTGTATGGGTTTTTTTTCTTCTGTTAATGCAGTATGCTTTTTTGGGAATTACAAAAATCAAGGTCAGTTTGCAGGCACTTAGAATACCAAAAACTTGCAGTGGCAGTGTTCATATATAGTCAGGTATCTGACATGGGACAGATCTCTGTCTAAATGTCAGGCTTGTATTGCAGTGAAGTTCTCATTTCAGCTTCAATGTTCTTAATAAATGTCATTCTGTATATTTTCTACTAGCAGTCAAAGGAACACGGTCAAATAAAATAAAATAAACAAACAAAAAAAAAAACAACAGCAAACTACTAATGAGGACATGAAATTAGTTTTGAGTGCTGCATTTACTGTACTTTCTCCAATAGAGCTTTTCATGCATTTTTAATATACATTGCACCTGTTTTCAGGTTAATGTTCTCCTTCAGTATAGATCACCAATTATATATTTATCTAAGCTACTGGACCCAAAAGTGGGACTATGCATGTCTTGTGCAAGTAAATTATTCAGTGAGGGTTTTTTGTCTGAGAAGGAAAAAAAAAGTACAAGAATCTTAATTATTTCTGTGACTGTTTTATTTCTTTATGCTTATTAACTTTTTTCTTTTTTTTTTTTTGGTAGCTGGACAAACTCCCCCACGTCCACCTTTAGGCCCTCCCGGTCCACCGGGCCCACCAGGCCCCCCACCTCCTGGTCAGGTCCTCCCACCTCCTTTAGCTGGACCTCCTAATCGTGGTGACCGCCCACCACCACCAGTTCTGTTTCCAGGACAGCCTTTTGGTCAGCCTCCACTTGGGCCGCTTCCTCCAGGCCCTCCACCACCAGTTCCAGGCTATGGGCCGCCACCGGGTCCGCCACCACCTCAGCAGGGTCCACCTCCACCTCCGGGTCCATTTCCCCCTCGTCCACCTGGCCCTCTCGGGCCACCCCTGACTCTTGCTCCTCCTCCGCATCTCCCTGGGCCACCTCCAGGTGCTCCACCACCCGCACCACATGTGAATCCAGCTTTCTTTCCCCCACCTGCCAATAGTGGCATACCTACTTCAGACAGCCGTGGCCCACCTCCAACAGATCCGTATGGCCGACCTCCACCATATGACAGAGGTGACTATGGGCCACCTGGAAGGTGAGTGTTTTTGGCGTAACGTGCTTTATATATAACTTCATTCCTTGTAGGAAACACATGATTTTTGTTTGTTTGTTTTTAATGCAAATGTTAGAAAAAGTAAAGAAGGGGGAAAAAAACAACAAAAAAAAAGCTGGAGGGGATCCCTGCAATCATGAGATTTGCCCATTTGCTTCTTAGTGTATGAACTCTCATAAATGTGCTTGTAGCAGTATGAAAATCCTAAAATGCATTGCTAGTAATCTTACTTTCCGTTTTCAGCTTTGAACTGTTTGTGTACATTGTTCACGGTATCATTATTCTGTGTGTTCTACATGCTAACTTCTTATATCACTTCCTGCCAGTAGCTTCTGGTTGTGCTTCTGTCATAACTTGAAATTCTCACTTGTCCCTTTGCCATCTTGCTTTGCAAGCTGTCACTGTAAAATGCTCTGGAGTTCTTCTTTTTGAATATGTGCATGTGTTGAGATTGGTGCCGCACTGAGCTTGTGTCATTCTCATCTTCTGGCAGTTCTGCTTGTCCCTTTTTTCTTAAGGATTCAATGAAAAGTTAGCTTTTGTCTCAAAAGCTGGGTGGGAATTTATTGCAAGACTTCTGTTTTCCTTTCCTGTCAAGCTACTTGTAAGCTTGTACAGTCTTTCTGTATTTGTAGCAGCGGCCTTTTCTGTAGTTGATCCAATCTGGGTCAGGGTTTTTTTCCTCTCACTTGAGTAGTCAAGTGTTTCACATCTTGTTTGAAACATCTTTTTCATCTGTGCTTTCAAGCATCTCTGTCTTGCTGCTGTTTTCTTAATTTTCACCATACTTGTATTCCTTAGAACTTCTGGGGACTGATTTTAAGAGAGATACTTTCTATGTAGTTACATGTGGAATTTTCACTTGTGATTTTACGGATATAGTTGAGAGAGTCTTCTCTTGCCTAAAGTGTTTTCTGCAAAGGCACTTTGATTCTTCCTTTTACATATGAGCACAAAGTTCAAAAAACCAGAACAATTGTACATACTATGTTCCTATAGAAATTGTTGAAATTCAAGCATTTGGCTTAATTGCCTGGATATAATAAGGTGCTTTGTATTTTTTGATGGACAAAAGTTGTCTGCAGTTTATAGAGTGGCTGGGGAGGGAAGGAGTGGGGATAGGACAGAAGAACTTCTGTCCGCTATTTTCATTAAAAATGTTAAGACTATCATCCATAACTATTTAAATTGTCATTAATTATATATCATAGGCGTTTCACTGGAAATAACATGTCCATAAGAGAAAAATTACATATTCCATTCTATGGGAGGCACACGAAAAATAATACTCAAAACTCAGGGAGGTATGAATTTTTAGACATTTCCTCTTATGCTAAACTGGCTATAGGATCTTGTTCCACTTCTTGCACTTAAGAGGATAGTATTGCTTGTTATTCTGCGTTTTCTTTCTACCAGAGGAACTAACACTGTTTTAGAAATATCAAGCAGTGGGTCAATTTGACAGTCTCAACTTTTGTCTCTAACACATTTCTTCAGGTTTTCTATATGATTCAGAGACTGGCTAATAGAACACTGCAAAACTTGTGGGAAATTGTTTTGTATGAGTAAATTTTGTTACTTTAGAATCCGTGTATAGGTAGCTAATAGAGTTAAAAAGTATAATGAGTGCAAGCATTCACTTTAATTGCTTTTTAATCTCCTTTCTGTGATTGGGAGATAAAATTGGAGCACCTTGAACTTGACCAGAACCAAAACCTTGAATTAACTGTAAAATGATGGTGTCATTCGGAAAATTGAGTGTTTTAAAGATGACGAACTTTATTTGCTTCTTATAAGTTACAGCCCTCTGGTCTTAGTTAAGAATCTGGGAAACAGGATCATATAGTTCTAATTCCAAGATTGTCATAAAAAGATTTCTAATTTTGCTGAAAGTTGCATTACCCATGTATGTGTATTTTTGCATCCACTCAGCTGGTGTAATGTCTGCTTAGATACCTTGAAGGATTTTATGAAAATGTTAAATATTTGTAAAGCACAGTTAAAGTGCTGCTGAATCTTCAAACTAGATTGGTAGAACAAGAATAACTCTACTCATTTAGCAGATGTGATAATTGTTTTTTTTTTTTAACTTATTTATTTTTCAAGCTTTCAGGATTTTATACTGTAACATGGTCCTTAACACAAACCCAGATCCTGCTTTCTTTTCTGTTTGTCATTTTGCTTAAAGTTGCAAACTTGGATTGTTAAAACTGCAATGATGTTTCATTAAGGTTTTCTTAACCTTTTAAATCCTAATTTTTATTGCTTGCAGAGAGATGGATGCTGCAAGGACACCTCTAAGTGAAGCAGAATTTGAAGAAATCATGAACAGAAATAGGGCAATCTCAAGCAGTGCCATTTCAAGAGCTGTATCAGATGCCAGTGCTGGTTAGTAAGACTTGCTTTCTATTCTGCTCAAGCAAAAAGAGTTTATAGTTTTTTTTCCTGTTAGGAAGCCTGCGGCCTTGAAGCCGCTTCCTTTTACTAGGAGGTTGAATTTAGGTACAACCTATGACTCTTCGCGCACTGATGTTTGAGAGTGTCTTCTGAGTACTGATCTGGATAGTGTTGTAATGTTTAGTCCTATAGTAAATGATTTGGAAGGCTATTGAAGGAAAATATTCCAAATTGTATTATTACTACAAATAAAAATCTTTGTATTAATTGACATAATTTTCTCATAATTTTATATTGTTTTCAGGGGACTATGGAAGTGCTATAGAGACCCTGGTAACTGCAATTTCCTTAATTAAACAGTCCAAAGTATCTGCTGATGATCGTTGTAAAGTACTTATTAGCTCTCTTCAAGACTGCCTTCATGGAATCGAGTCCAAGTCCTATGGTTCTGGATCCAGGTAAAGCTTTCCTTTTCCATCCACCCTTCTGAAAGGAAAAGTGTAGGGCAAGACTAGTTCAGAAAGGAGGAACTAAGTCATGTGAGAAGCTTAGTGATTTGCTCAGCTGCACAAGAAATTTGTGAAAGAGCCAAATACAACTTTTGAATGTAAATAGTCTGTTAACTGACTCTTCTTTTTAAGGTGGATCTGGCTAGCTTTTTAAATTATTATAGTTTGTGTTCTTTTCTATATGGTAGTATTGCAAAAAGTAAAGTTCAGAATTGGATTGTTTTCATCAATTCAGATGTAATATGTTGTATATAGCATATATCACATATATAATTTCTATCATTATTTTCTATTGAAAATTAAGTTAGAGGGTACTTGTTACCAGTTTCATTTTGCTTAATAGTAACTTTCTCTTCACCTGTCACATTTGGCAAGGGAAGGAGGTTGGCCAGAATGATTTTTCTTCTTATTCCTCCTCATGCAGTCAAAAAATTGAGAATAGGTTTAAAACTCACAGTCTTTTACCTACTGCTTATTCACAACCCTTTCAGAGTTGCAGCAACCACTGAGCCTCTAACTTCTGATTTATTAGGATATTGTAGGAGTAGAGTAGATGATGTTGATTACTGAAAACATGGGCAGCTGATCTTGGCCCACACTTTCAGAATGCCAATGAGCAGCCATGTTGTAGGAATCGTTTGAGGCACATTACGTTCTCCAGCTGATGTTGGCTGTCTTGTCCTTCATTCTGAATGTGTAATTTCTGACTTTTCCCTTGTTTGGAAGTGGATGACATCTTACTATCTGTTAGCTGTTCTTAGCCACCACCCCAGCCATCTTCCATGTTACGTAAAAAATATCTCTGCATCACAGTGCAGAGACATTTCTTTCATGGCTGAGGAGATATTTCTCTCATGTCTTTTTTTGATCCAAGTTGTACCAAACAACAGAATACAAAACTGGCGTGCGGGTGGCTTTTGTTTTGGGGGAGGGGAAAAAAAGAAAGTAATGAAGTAATTTTTTTTAGAAGACGTGAACGATCCAGGGAGAGGGACCACAGTAGGTCACGAGAAAAAAGTAGACGCCATAAATCACGTAGCAGAGATCGTCACGATGACTATTATCGGGAAAGAAGCCGAGAAAGAGAGAGACATCGTGATCGTGATAGAGATCGTGACAGAGAACGAGACAGAGAGAGAGAATATCGCCATCGCTAAAGAAGGTGAGCGTTTTTTTTGTGTTAAAGCTTACTGTTACTGAGTAACTGAAGTTACTGCTCTAGATTTGGGATTGTTTACTCAGTGAATGCTTGCATTTCAATGGTCCTGCAGTATATAATGAACTACTTTCTTCTTTTAGCATCTGAAATGAACTTAGGTAAGTAATGACAGGTAACTCTGGCCTTGGGAGGGAGTGTGATTCCTTCTGCAGCTGGCATGCCGCCTTTTTAATTTTAGATGGTAGTAATGTTTGCAGTTTTTATGAAATGCACTTGAACCAACTCTTAACAAGCAGTAAGCCAGACTGGTAATTCTGCTCTGTCGTAATCTTAAAAGGTGATAGTAAATGTATGTTTGTATTTTTCATTTGTATTATAAAAGAAAAGAAAATCTACTGCAGCAATTAGCTCCTCGTATGACATGTGAGTATTATTTCAATGTAGGGAACACAAGTACATGCAGGTGCTGTTCTTGCACTGGTAGAAATATTTTGTTTCAGTAAGTATTACTCAAGTTCAGGAAATATAGGTGGATTTTGGACCTTATTGTAAAAAACATGGCCTTTCACTTTTTTCTGTCTGCTAGCTAAATTTAGGTGTTATTCCAGTAGGATTTATGGTCAGTTCTTCTTCACCATCCTGCTTTGTCGTTCTCTCCCTCCTCTAAACAGTAAACTCATTTTCTGAAGACTTGTAAATGAGTGTATGATGCAAGGATTGGTTCTTTTCTGATTATTCACATACTAAAATGTTCTTTCATTTCATGTATCTGCAATCTTGCATGCATCAAATGTCTGGGTAGCTACCAAGTAGCAGGTTAATTATGCTTTCTTTAGTGTGCTGCTAAAAGCTTTAAAGTCTGTGTGAGCATTCCCCTTTAACATGCTGGTTTGAGGACTGATGATCCAAGCTGCTTGTGATTTCTTGTATTTGGAACTAGGGGGGGGAAAAGAACCCTACATATTGTTTTTGCTGCAATAGTTTTTTCCATTTTTAGAATTTCCCACTGCACATACACTCAAATTGAAACCCAGCAGACTTTGCTGGTCTGCCCAGATTCCATTTCTTTTGTCTACTCTCAGGTTTAGTTTCCAGATTTTCTTGTGACATTCATTCATGTGAGCTAATTTGCAGAAGTTAAACAGAGCAAAACTCATTAGAAATCATGTAAACTGTAATTTACTCCAAAGTGAAAACATTCCTATAATTTTACAGTATTTGAATGTCATATTTTACATGCTAGACTTTTGTGTCACTGAGAGAACAAATTAAATTCTGTAGTCTACTAAATATTAAGTGGCATGCTGGGTTATTTGTTTGGACTAGATGATCTTAGGGGTCTTTTCCAACTTTGATGATATATTCTAAAAAAGCAGTAATGTACCTTGAGATGGGGAGTCAAAGGCTTAAATAGAAAAATGTGGCAACTGAAATAAAGTTGGCAGTAGTATATAACTGTTAATGCCACTTTTTGTCATGAAAAACGGATTGGTAGATATCATTCTGGAGTTGCATAAAAATAGCAACTGTGGTTTTTAATTGTAAAATGTCAGAGCTTAAATATAAAGATTTAACAGAATGCAGTTTCTTTTGTTGAACTGTATTTTTCCCTTTTATCATAAATTACTATTTGTGATATTTGCAAATAGTTCTTGTTACTAGGAGGTAACCATTGAGCTTGAATGATGAATGTACTTCCAGAATTTTTTTTAACTTCTATTGGAGCTGAGCTAAAAATTGTTAATCCGGGGTTTGGCAACTATTTTTTTGTCCTTGACATACTTTGTTAATATAGTTTTAATTTTTGTGTATTTAGACTATTGTGTATGCCTATGTGGAGTTTCTGTGTCAAGTACAGATTCCCTACCTGACCACCCCAACAAAACATGTCCAATACCATTAGGTTGCATTTTGTAATATCCAAAACACAATTTCAAAATTAGTTTTAATCTTATTGTGGGACTGGACTCAGTCTCAGTTTGGGTGGGATTTATATATGCCACTTTGACTTTGTTGTGTGTTGGGAACTCTCTTTTCAAAGCAGTTGCATAGGTAAGATTCCCTTGCACAAAGAATGTAGGTTCTAAGAACTTGATTTAAAGAACAAATTAAATATTCCACATCTAAATGAAGACATTTGGTACTTTTTTAGAAGTTAAGTTGTAAACATTTTGTCTTGTTTCTGTCTAAATGAAGAGGGGTTTTACTGTAGCTTTGTTTATATATATATTTATATATACAGACAAAAAAAAGTGCAGTGATTTTTGGTTTGTATGTTTCACTTTCACCAAGATGTATGTTGCCATACTTTTTTTTTTTGTTTTGCTCTTTACATCAGTTAATTTTCATAAACAAATTTAACAATCTCAGTCACTTAATAAACATCAGCAATGCTGAAGAGTCACTCCCCACATTACTGTGTTTTGCCAAGTAACGTGAAGTTGCCTGTGTGCCCTCACCCTCTGATTGGCACCTGTACTTCTCCTTATTTCTGTGTGTACCTATAGTCATAAATGTGATACTGTACTGGCATATTAAAAAAAGAAAAAAGGGTGTTACACATCTAGTTTAGATGTGAATATTTTTGTATACAGTGAAACTCACTTTGTATTGTATTTACTTACACTTAGAGATGGATTAAATTGGAATAACTCAATGAATGTGTTCATTATAAAACTCTATTTAAAAAGTTCAGATGTACCATAGTAGGTATTTACACTTCTGTTTGTACACTTAATGATTTCAAATTAAATTCTTGCAAGATTCTTGTGTGCCTTCACTTGAGGAAGGCTTCACATGCATCAGTAACCTGTTCTCCAGAGTTGCTGTAAACTAAACATTTTCTTGAACTATCTTGCTTTTGCACATAGAAAGTCTATAGATATAAAAGAATGATGGATTTAAAAGACAAATGTCTGACTTGTATTAGTCAAGAAAGCTAAGAGTCCAACAGAATGATGTTTAGGATTAACAAACAAGTAAAATGAATGTGTACAAACAGAATAGTATTGTAACTTCATCAGCATGAGTCCTGATTCTTTTTTTAGACAGGTTTTTTTTCTTTTTTAGTTTACCTGATACTCAATGATGTATTTCTAGCTGATACATTGTCCCAATCTTAATCTGTCTGAATTTCTATAACTACTGAATGTTAAGTTTCTCATTTTATGTTTTTGTTACTGGGTCATCTGAAATTTCCTATTTAAACTGGATTTGGACTGAATTGCAAAGAAAAAATACACTAACATTGTAACAGCTGATGATGTATGTAGACTTTGTATTCCATTTTTCATGACTTTTCTCTGATTTTTTTTTTTTTTTTTTCTATTCTCAAACCACTGTAAGCAAAATCATTTGTACAAATGCATACTGATGCACTTCTGAGGCTGAGGCTGGTCTGCTTCTTCAGTAACTGATCTCAGGTATCTGAAATAGTTTCAGATTTGGAGTGGTTTAAGAACTAATATGGTTGTATTTTTTTTTTTATGCCAGTAGGAGGGGAAATGGTACTTGATAGTTTTAAAAGATGCATTATATTTTTGCCTGCGTAAGCAGGGACTCTTCTGGAAGAGTGTGTTAGCAAATGCTTCAGCACCAAGTGAAGTATGATGTTAGCCTTTTAAGAAAATTAAAAGGAGGATGCTTATTTTTGTGAATTATTTCAATAATAAGCTTTAATAATAAGGAAATTCAAGTGAATTGTGTAGGAGCATTGTCCAAGACCCTAGATATGCATATTCATGTCTAGAATGGTTCCAGATCTTACTAGTATAGAGCTGTAATGAACATTATTTACCTACTCTTTTTATGTGTATTTCTGAGCAATAATGTATGTGGGGTTGGCATTTTTTGTGTTTCTAGCATTTACCACAGAAATCATGTACTGTGCATCTGTTTCAGTAGCTGAAATCCACCTTAAGAGTGTAAGAGACAAACGATGCCATTGTTCTGTGTGCCTCCTCAAGGCTGTTTGATAGCTATTCCGGTGCTTTACAGAAGCATATGTTTTGTTTCTTAATGTTTAGTAATTTCATTTTCTTAAGGGTGATAAGATGGTTTGAAAACCAAACAAACTGAAAGTCTTATTACTTCTTTTCATGAATGTTGCTGTAATTTTACTGCCTTTTGAAGTGTCTTAAGACACACATTTTTTCTGTTCCTCGTGGCCTGTGCTTTTTCCCCTTGCTTTGTGAAATCACTAGTTCTGGCAAATTTGAGCAGTATGGAAGTTCCATAAGAAATTTGTCTATAAGGAATTACAGCATTTGAAACTAAGAAATTACTTGCACTGAAAACATGGGTTTTGTACAATGTTCTCCAGAGAACAAACACTTTTTTGTTTTGCTCATTGTGGTTTGAGAACTAAGATTTCCTTTTTCAAACAATAAGAGAGAGAGAACGATTTTCATTTTATGTTTTCCTGTGGCAGCCTGATCTACCTTTTGTGTCTTCCTCATATATTAATGTGAAAGGTGCTTTCCAACCTCATAGTATTTGAATTTGTAAACTAAAAAGCTGGTTTTCTGAACACACCTCTACACATCATCTATCTCTGGTGAATAGACAGGCTGGGATAGTAGGAGAAGCGTGCAATGAAACAAACTGTTTGGGAGTGTTCTTTTTCTGTTCATATGAAATTGTTCAGTCTTAGTGTTTCATTTAAGAGCAACATTAAGTCAAAGATATCAGGTAAGTACACTAAGAGTAGGGGGGAAAAATGCAACAAATGGAATAGCTGCTAGTGATGGTAGAGTAGGTAATTTGTACGTGTATGAAGGGCAAAGACTGAAGTGTATCTCAATTGACATGCAGAATGACAAATACAGCGTCAAGCTTGAAATTCTTTAATTCTCACTGTACTGTTGTAGCTAAACAACAATATTTGAAGGTTTCTGACAGTCTGGAACCTAGTCTAAGTTAAAATTAACTTTTTTTAATGGAATTTTTGCTCTTGTGTATTTTTTTCCCCTATGTATAGAATAAAATAAATGAGAACCACATTCATTCTTAGGAGCTATCAAAATATGATGACAAATATGTATCATGCATTTTACTCAAATGTGAACGTTTTGTGAGATTGAAATTCAGTCTCTGAAACTATCTGATAAATCACTATTATAAACTGACAGATGTATGCACATAAGGCTTTAAATTACTGTAGAATTTTCTCACTTCTAAAAGCTGTTTAAAACTTTCATATGCTTGCTTGGATGATTGGAATTAAAGGCAAAAATAGTTGTTACTGTGAGATACTTATATATATATATATACATATATATAAGAAATCTCTTGGGTTTTGGTGTAAGAGTGTCTTTGGGTGTGAAAAACAATGCTTAAGTTGCATTTTGCATAAACATAAAAATGTTGGATCCCTTAAGCTCTGGGATTTCATTTGTGAAATGCTCCTTAGCTTTTAAACCACAACAAACTATTCAACAGATAAGTCTGCTCCTTGGGTATCATTAGTGGAAATGCTGAGAAACTGATTGCTGTATGATGTTAAATTGTACAAACCTGGCACGTGCTTGGGACAGATAGCTGGTATTAACTTGAGACAGGTGGAAAACTGCATTACAACAAAGGGTTGACTAGAGATTTTAATCTTTATTTTCTCCCCAAAGTGTTTCTTACTTCGATATTCTACTTGTAGAATACTGAAAAAGGCTGAGAGTGAAGGTATAATCCATACTTATATTTTTTCCTTTTGGAACCGCAAAGGTTTCTGATTTTTGCCAGGATATACTGGCAGAATATTCGGAATCAAAATTAGCACCCCTTTGGATTTTAGTTGGCCATGTGGTTTTAAAATTAAAAATATAAAAATTAAAAGTTTTAGAGTGGTGTTGACCATCTTAGGATCCCTGCTGGAAAGCATTAATTGTAAATACTGTTTATTGTGCTTTCTTGAAAGCTCCTGTAGTTGCATAAGTCACCTAACAAATCTAGCAAATTATTCTCAGGAACAGAAGCTTTCTCTGCTAGTATTATCGATCCTACACATGGTGCTTTGGATCTGTTAACTGTTGCCATAGAAGTGCTCAAGATCCATAACTCTTGCCGCAGCAATTGTATCACCAGAGCAGCAAATTCTGACATACAGTCTCACAGCTGTCATACCTTTTGTCCACTAAAACCCAAAATTCTCCCATCCATTTGTGCTGATGTAGCCCATGCTTCTGAATGTGTCCGCCTGTGGGTGCGGTGCCTTGTCACTGAGCCTCTGAAAAGTTCACTTGAAAAATGTGTAACATCTACAGAAACTTTGGCCTCTGGGGAGGGAACTTTCTCCAGAGTATTTACTGGTTGATGACTTGAGAACAAAGGCTGCAAATAAAAGAAATTCCAGCCGCTGCTTCAGCCTTGCCCGAATACTTGATCAGTTGACCCGAATACTGGAGGGTAAACAGCCTAAGCTGCTTGGGTTTTACGTTCTTCTTTTTAACATTGCCATTCATGATCATGTTGAGGAAGGGAAGAACAGATGTGTCAATTGCTTGTACAAACATGGAATATTTTGTTTTTCCAACTGCTTTGCAATTATAATAGCAAAAGAATATTTGACAGCTGTGTACTGGTATACGTTCAGGAAATTGCTCCTCTAAATGTCTGTTTTTCAAACGAACAATCAAATGTGTTGGGTTTTTAAAGAACTTGATTTAAATTATTTTGAAGTTACTGAATGTTGAAATTGTGAATTATTAATGAAATGAAGATAGTCAATTGTTTTGTAATGGAATTCAACTGACATCCAGTGTATGGAATTATACCGTCCCAAGTATTCTGTGAACTCTTACGGTAATTCACTTTGAATGGCGTGGTTCCTCATTGCCTAAATAGATGGGAGTAGGCAGTAGGGGCTTGGGTTTTTTCCTAGGGCAGGAGGAGACCTGCAGGTCTGTATTGTATTATTTGAAGAGTGGGTTTGTGCGATCAAACTGTGAGTGTGTATGTTTAGATGTCAAGTCATCCTGCTTGCCACTAGGCTGGAAATTTGGAAGTGCCTCTATCAAATTCTGTGCGCTCTTAAATGTTACTGGGCTGTGAGCCTCCCACTTCATGATACAATCAGTGCATTACTTAAATGTCAAATTTAAATCAGTTTAAATCTTCTGTAAGTGAGCAGGTAAAAATGTAAAAATCTAGCTGTGGGCAAAATTACATTAAATGCTTGTTGGTTTATTCTTTCAGAATTCATACTTTAGAAAATGCTCTTTATAAATGTTTCCATCAGTCACAGGAACAGTAGCTATTTCTACTTTATCACCGGATACTTCCGAATGTTAGATTCACATTCTTTCAATTTTGTTGTACAATTGGTTTTAATTACCATATCCTAAAGCAGTTGCACAAACAAGTAGCTACTGCTCCTGTTAGCTTGTGTTAGTTTACATATGGTGAAGTAGATGCACGACTTGTGTATGTATAGATAAGGCAACAATTTTCTGTGTATTATGGGGACTAGCAAAATCTACATCACAAATTTTGACACATTACAGCTGAAGGAAGAGGAGCAGCGTACAAGACAAGATACGTTCTTCAAGGAAAGATGCTTGTCCGGCAGTTTGCTTCATGTGATTGAACTGAGCCTGTAAGGATTCATGGATAAAATGAACAGGAATAGATCTGAATAAAGCAAATCTGCATACATGGTAACCAGTAGCTCTTTTACTTTTTTTATGTTGCTTAACTGTTTTATTTGAGGGAAACCTGTGTGATTTAAACCTTATAGTTTTTGCAACTTCATTACTGGTTATATACATTTGGCAATTATAATGTGCGAGCAATTGGAAAAAGTCAAGTAAATGCTTGTTTTTATAGTAGTTTGTTCATGTTAAAATGTTCATATGATAATGTCTGTACACAGCACCACTTTGATTACAGTAGATGTAGTGTTGTAATAAACTGTTTAATGGGGCTGATGTGTAAAGCTGTTCAAGTTATTTGATGTTTACACCTCAGGGAAAGTCTTGTGTTCAGCAATATTTAAAGATAATGTTACAATGAAAACATTGATGCTGTCTTTAAAAACATCGCAATAGTTCTTGCATATGCCTCAACCTAATCTTGCATTCAGTGAGTTGAACCTACTAATGTTGCTCTCACACGTTTGATTTTGATACGAAGACAGGTGGTTACAGAAACCTCTAATGCCATTTTGCTTTCTAGCAGTGTTTACCTGGGTGGCTTGTGAACTTGCTCACTGACGTATAAAACTGTAAAAACTGCAGTTCTTTGTGTTCTCTTGCTTTGAGGAAGGTGCTCCCAGATCACTGATGGGAGCACACTGAAAATGCTCTTTCACACGGTCTTGATATTGGTCGACGCTGCTGTTCATATTAAACTGTTTGCATGGTCTTAAACCATTCATATTGAGGGATGCAAAGGTTAGCTTTAAAAAAAAAAAAGAAGAAGAATCCTGCAGTTGTTTACAGTTTTATAGAACTAGTGCTTATGTGTTTCTCCCTTCCCTCCGCCCCCGAGGCCGCAGCAGTCTGTACATAACTGTATATTAGATGTGACAGGAGGAAGCAGATGTTTCCATTTTTCAGACTTTATGGGTTTGATACTTTTTTAATGCTTTGGGGTTTATCCAAACGTGCATATAGAAGAGAAGGTACGCCTGTATGTCCGTGTTCCACTGTGGGCAATATTGAAGTATCTTCGCAAAAAGCGGCGCTAATTAAATCCGTCAAATGAGGTTTTGTAAATTTCCTTAAAAACAGTTTGCTGGAGCTTAGCGTGGAAGCTGAATTCCAGTTACAAGAAATTGTTTTAAATTTCAGTAAGCACAAATGAATGGAAAGATTCATTTAATTTGGAAAAAAACTGTTTCTGGAGTCCTTGCACAAAGGCTCATTCTTTGTCTGTTGCAAATCATTGTGTAACGGATTTATTCTTAGTTTTCACTGATTCACATAGCTGCACTTAGTGCTTTAAGTTCTGTTTCAAGACCTCAGATGGCTTTAAGAAGCAACTCTTAGACAGCTCTTCGTTTCTTTCTTTACTGATTTTCTTTCTCAAAAGGTTTTGCAGCAGATCTAAAATCTGTTCTCCTGTTCAGGAAAGCACTTCAATCCACTTGGTTTTCCAGAGCACATGCTTACATTCTGCCCATTTCAAGGAATGTAAACATATGCTCTAAGTTAATTTGTGCAGAGTGAGCGATTTTGATGCTTTGCTGAGTCGGGACCAGTAGCGTGTACTACTGCAGAAGCTTTGCTTAAGTCTGAAATCTCTCATATTTTTATCACCGACCCTTGGCCGGATTTTCTGCAGCCAGGTTGATGCTGTTGGACTGGGCTGCAAGCTTCAGACCCCCTCCCCTTTTTTTCCTTAAATTGTGTACCTCAAATCCTCATGCGTGGGGTCGCTGGTGTTAATCAAACTATTTGCTACTGAGAAGATATTTACAATGTTTGTTTAAACCTGTTTCCAAATGAAAGCTGCCTTTTAAAATTTTGTAAACTGAAAGTTGTATCTAATGAGTCACGACTCATTTCCTGCTTTTTGTGAATAGGTGTTGGTTACAAACAATACTGTTGTAATTTTATTTTTTACTTCAAAACAATGTTTACTGCTGTGTGTAATAAGTTTAAGGAAGGAATAACCTGTCTGTAGCTGTTACATGGGGAATAGCTCATGCTGGAGAGGCAGCAGGTAAGTAATGTTCCATTGCAGAGCTATATTATAACTCGAAATAAAAAATCAAAAGCATTTTATGCAGGAATTGATATTCCATACTGAAATAGATATAAGGATACCATTGCTCTTCTACAGAGCATAGCTTCTTGTGCAGATTTCTGTTGCTGGCAATGGAAATAGCAGGGGAAAAAAAAAGCAGGAAGAGAACAACACAGGTTAAACTGAGTGTGTTGTGGCTTAGAAGAAGAGATCCCCACATGAAGCCCCTTATTTCTGCCTGTTCTCTGAGTACTTAGTTTGAGCTGATAGGCACACTGTATCACTGTTTAGATAGAGCTCTTGCTACTGTGAGTTTTGTTAGAGTTTTTTTTTTAATGAAACAAGAAATCTGTACAGAAAAAGATCCAAAGACCCTGATAGACACCAAAAAGGAATATGTCTGATGCACATCATGTATAAGTGAATCCGTAATACAGTTGTACCAGGTTTTGGTTTATTACATGTGACTGACGGCTTCCTGTGTGTGCGCTCAGGAAGCGGCAGTTGGGCGCTGCGCTGCCTGCTGATGGTGCCATGGTGGCTCCTGCCACCTTCTTTGATATTCACTCTGTTGTATTTCATCTCCTTTTGATCCGATGAAAGGATAAAACAGTCTGTGAGGAAATACTTGATATTTCTTCTGAACAGTGTTTTTATAAGCAATGTTGAAAATTGGATAAGGCTGTGTGTCCTTTGTTTTGGGAGACAAAGCCCACAGCAGGTGGTGGTTGGGGTGGTGGCATCTCAGTGACAGAAGAATTTTTTGCAGTAGGTTTTTTTTTATCTGTTTTGTTTGGTTGGTTTTTGTTTTCGTGAGTAAGGTTTCCTTTTTTCTTAGTAAAATTTCTACTAGGCTGTATGTTTTGACAGGTCAGAAACATTTCTTCAAAAGAAGAACATACAATTTTGGAAATTGTACAGCCCTTTTCTTTCATTCCCTTTTTGCTTTCTGTGCCAATGCCTTTGGTTCTGATTGCATTATGAGAAATGTTTGTCAGAACTTGAGGTTTTTATTTATAGTGTGGTTGAAAGCTTGGATAGTTGTTCTTACACGAGATACCTTATTAAGTTTAGGCTAGCTTGATGCTTTACTGCTTTGTTTTTTCCCTTCTAAGTAGTGAGCGATCTGGTTTTTTCCTTTGAAACTGGTGAGGCTTAGATTTTTCTAATGGGACTTTTTTACCTGATGATCTAGTTGCATACTCAAATGCTTGTAAATGTTTTCCTAGTTAACATGTTGATAACTTCAAATTTACATGTTGTATATACTTGTCATCTGTGTTTCTAGTAAAAAATATATGGCATTTATAGAAATATGTAATTCCCGATTTTCCTTTTTTTTAATCTATATGCTCTGTGTGTACAGGTCAAACAGACTTCACTCCTATTTTTATTTATAGAATTTTATATGCAGTCTGTCATTGGTTTTTGTGTTGTAAGGATGCAGCCTTAAATTTCATAGGGCAGTGCTCAGTAAGGTGGGTTGTCACGTGGGTTCAAATGTAAAACGTGCACGTTTGGCTGCTGCCTTCCCGAGATCCAGGACACTAAATTGCTTCTGCACCGAGGTATAAATCACTCAAGATCCCAGGGAAGTGCAGATCCACATGATATTCTTAAAGAAGAATGAATACTTTCTAAAATATTTTGGCATAGGAAACAAGCTGCATGGATTTGTTTAGGATTTAAGTTATTGTGGGAATGGAGCGTATAGGTTTTAAACACAGTTGCAGCGTGCCAATGAGTCACAGTGTTTATGCAGAAGTGATGCCCGTTGCAGCTGCTCACAGCACTGCCCTGCAGTGAGTGTTGCAGACAGGGCTGGGGTGCTTTGTGTCGTGTCCCCACGCGCTGCCACACAGCCACCTCCTGGAACACATCTCACCTGCTGGGTACTTCTCAAACCATCTTAGCTGTAGAAGATGAGTTGCTAAGAAACAGAGAAGTTTCTCAGTTGGATGTTCTCATGGGATTTTATTTTTTTCCATGTTGGACGAAGCATCTCTATTTGTAAATTACGCACTTGTTAGTTCCTGAATCCTTTCTATAGCCCCGGTTATTGCAGCAGATGTAGGCTCTGGTATGGCCTATATCTGTGCTTAAATCTTTTAAAGCTTCTGATTTGATGGAAGTCTCTTGAAGATAGTAAACAGTATTCACCTTTTACCCCCAATGAAATTGAGCATTTCAGTTGTAAAAAAAAAAAAAATCAGTCTATTCGTACCATGTAATGTAATCTTACACCCCCAGTGCTGACACTTTGGAATATATTTAATAGTCTTTGGCCTCACCCTCTTGTGTACTGTATTTTGTAACAGAAAATATTTTAAACTGTGCATATTATTATTACATTATGAAAGAGACACTGTTGATCTTCAAGTGTAAGAAAATGAGGAATGCGTGTGCTTTTATAAATGCAAGTGATTGCAAATTAGTGCAGGTGTCCTTTTAAAAAAAAAAAAAAGTAATGTAAAAGGACCAGGTGTTTTACAAGTGAAATACATTCCTATTTGGTAAACAGTTACATTTTTATGAAGATTACCAGCGCTGCTGATTTTCTAAACATAAGGCTGTATTGTCTTCCTGTATCATTGCATTTCCTCATTCCCATTTTGCACAAGGATGTCTGGGTAAAAAATTCAAGAAATGGCTTTGAAATACAGCATGGGAACTTGTCTGAGTTGGAATGCAGAGTTGCACTGCAAAATGTAAGGAAATGGATGTCTCTCAGAATGCCCAACTCCAAAGGATTTTATACATGTATATAGTAAGCAGTTTCCAGATTCAAGCAGGCCAAAGAGTCTGCTGAATATTGCGTTGCCGGAGACCTGTATTTCTCAGCAAGGTAAGATGGTATCCTAGCAACTGCGGATTTTAATACATTTTCAGCAGAAGTGCTTAGTTAATCTCTGCCTTTAGGGATCGTTTCATCATTTTTAGATGTTATACTTGAAATATTGCATAACTTTTAGCTTTCATGGGTTCCTTTTTTTCAGCCTTTAGGAGACTGTTAAGCAATTTGCTGTCCAACTTTTGTGTTGGTCTTAAACTGCAATAGTAGTTTACCTTGTATTGAAGAAATAAAGACCATTTTTATATTAAAAAATATTTTTGTCTGTCTTCATTTCAACTTGTCTGATATCCTTGCAGTGCTCATTATGTCAGTTCTGTCAGATGTTCAGACATCAAAACTTAATGCGAGCTCAATGGAGTTACAGCTGTAAATTCAATGCTGTTATTATTTCTGAAACTAGAAATGATTTTGTTCATGCAAGCTGTGGTTTTCATCTGCTCGTCAAACACCTTCTGCAGAGTTTAAGATTAGTGAGAAGTGCATACATTTACTGATTTTTTTTTTTTAAGTCAACTTTTTTCATTTAAGTCAACAGTTTTTTTTTCATTTGGAAATGTATTGTTTTCCAGACTTCATAGCTTCTGAATCTGAAATACAGTCCGATTGGCGTGAGAAAGCACAGCACTCTTCCTCTTATTTAAACTTTATTTTGGGATGAATGAAGTTAAGCAAGGGCCATGGGTCCATGAAATAGAGACAACACACTCAGGAGAAAGTGAACCTGGATTTCTTTGGCTAGTGTTCTAAATCTTTAGTAAGGAAAGTAACACCCGCTTCCTTGAAAGGGCTTCGGCTTTAATGCTTCCAAACTGAAGGTGGCAGGTAACTTGGCCACTGGTTATTTACTGCATCATGTCTCAGTTTCACAGTGAAGCTGACTTCTCCACTATTGAGCATGGACTATAGCCTGGCTTCAGGGGCCAGGTGAAGGTTGGGATGGGTGGAAGGAGTGCTGGGCTGTGGCTGGGGGGACTGTAGGGACTCCAAGCTCGGCTTGGGGTGGGGAGCACAGGGAAAAGTGTTGGTAACTATTTTGAAGTACCTTGTTGCAAACATCTCATCCACAAATACGTAGGGTGTGTACTCTTGAAGATTAACAGAGTTGGGTTCAGTAATATATGGATGAATTCATAGTGGAAGCATTCAAGGATTGGTCATCTGACGACGCCAGATCATCGAGCTCTGATTGGAAGTGGTATCAGAAGAATGAGGAAGGTAAGCAGTCTTAATATGTTTTCCATCCACGTAAAGCAGTCTGGGAAAGTAGCACCCCTTGAGCAGAGACAAGGAAATAAATAATTCAGCAGCATGTGCTAGGAGAACTTCCTTGCTGAATTCTACTTGCAAGAACCTTGCTGCCTGGCTTTTGGTGTCTTCTGCAGCACCTGCTACAGATGGCAAGGCCCAGAGCCTGAGTGAGCTGGAGGGAAAGATTCTGCTCAAGTCCAGGCTTCAGCAGGTCATTCTCCTTGCTTCTTCCCTCATCGCTATGCAGCAGAGTGGAACTGATGCAGAAGCCTCCTGTCTGCTGCTTGTTGTTGCAGGCAGACTGGCCTCAGAAAAAGAGAGCTAACTGTATCTACATGATAGTCTGAAGGTGAAATGGGTTTTAAAAAGAAACCACAAAGGCAAAACCACCTGGTCCATGAGAATAAAGCAGTTTCTGAGCACAGTTTGTACTGACTGAGCCAACAACATTGGTAGGATTTCTTAGGAGAGTGGGAGCAGAGAGGTACTTGTATGGGTTAGCAGGGAAATGTAAAGCAGTCAATTCCACGGGCTCTTGAGCTACAGTCAGAAGGACTCTTCTGGACTGCAGGAACTGGTGTGGTTGCAGTTGAGTTCTTGTGCAGGTGCTCTGCTGCAGGCTTTGCAGCATAGGCAGTGGAACAGCAGAATTCCCCATGGTATCTCTGCAAACTGAACTAGTTTCACCTGGTGCCACTGAGCGCTCCACTGGGCTTCAGCTCTTTGCCAACAGAGGAACGTTAGTGATCTGGGAAAGGCTTTGTTTTTTAATATTTGCCTCCACATGGAATTGAAAGCAATGTAAGAACTATCTGGGAGAGCAGTACTCGAATAGGTTATGGAAAGTGAACTTCTTGGCCCCTGTTCTATTTGGGGAAGGGAGAAACACTCCATTTGAAAGTGGTTTTCAAAGAGATGCAGTCTGCACACATAGCGCTACCAACAGAGGGTTTGGCATAGCTGAAAGCAGTTAAAACATGACATGCTCCGCGTGACTTTCTGAATGCATTTTGGCTAACAATGCATTGCTCCAACCACAGTGAAAAAATTGGAGTTGATGCTTGTTTGTGTCGTTTGAGAGAGCTGCTGCTGCGCAGGAGTTTGCCAAGCAAGAGGCAAGGCGACTGACTGCAGCATGTGAGAGGAAGCAAGTTTAGCAGTGGCACTGAACTACCCACCGGTTTTCCTCTTAGGAGATCCAAAAGCTGACTTTCAGAGCAGCGCTGACACTTCTAAGGAAGGAGAGCCCCTGGGTGCTCAGCCCCACGGAACACGGTAGAAAAGGTGCAGAAGCTCGCAGGCAGTGTGACAGGCCCCTCCTGCCATCTAGAGGCGTGATCAAGCTTCTCTGCTTACAGCTCCATTTGCCGGTGAAGAAGTGCATGTTTCTTCTTTGGTGGCTTTTGTTTGGCATTTGGTTTTGAGATTTAGGCACCTCCTGAAAGAGGAGGAGTTGGGCAGTTCTTTGGTTTGTAAAGCCTGTACTTTAAATATGCATTTTGTGAGGGAGTGTAGTGAATTGGTCGATTTAAAATAGCTTTCAGTCCGTTGCAGCTCTGAGTAGTTGAGAGGGTAACACATTTAATGAGATCTTCTGAAACTACTGCTTCTAAACACTTGTTGGACTGATGAGGCCTTGGATAGATGAGCGCTGTTGTTACGTCTGATTCACTTGCTTGTCCTATTCCACATCCATGTTTGTTGCTTATCCCCTATCTGTCACATCTGACAGATGGCAGTTGCTTCTTTCCCTTTTTCTTGCTAAATAAGCAAGCTGCAGGCTTCCTCCTGGCTTTGACACCTCGTGAAATAGTTTTCTTGCCTTATATTCTGTACATTATTTCAAATATTTTTTGATGCACTGTTCTCAAGTGTGTGTCTTCCTAGTCTTAGCGTGAATGCTCTTAGAGTGAAAGAACCCAGGAAGAGAAAATGTTGGCCGCAGTTCTCTGATGAACACACCTCTCAATAATGGCCAGAGGTGGGTGGGTTTCCTCTGAAAGCAAGGAGCTCTGCAGAGTTGCAGTTATTTTGCAACTGATGGTGAAACTGGTGCTTAACACAGACTCCTTAGGTTCCCTGATACTCCTTTTCCCTCTTGGCAGTCAGTTTATTTCTGACAGACAAACAGCCACCCTCACTGTAGGCTGGGCTCTGTTTAGAAATTATGTGGCTCTGCCTGGGTGTGTTACAGCTCTGCCCCAGTGAAAGGGGATTAAAACAGGGACCATTCATCCCAAACAGGATCCTTATTCACGGATCAAGCCGTAAAGGACTCGGGCTCCAACCTCAAAACGTTAATTGGAGTACGAATGTAATTAAAACTGCATTCTTGCGTTCTTAAGTCATTTATCCTGGACTCTTTGCAGCATGTAGGTCCACAGCTCCCACTTTCTGAAAGACCACTGGTGTCAGAGTAGTGAAAATGGGGACCCGTTCAGAACAACCAACGGAGCGTTGCAGAAGAAACTGATGGAAATAATGTTTAAACTGTGTGGTGGATATTTTTTTTAAATAAACTACTTTGAATGAAAAGGGTAAGAGAAGGTCAGTGTTTTATTAGCAGCCATAAAAACAGATGAGCGAGTACCATTTTTCTCTACAAGAAAAACTATTTTGAGCTCTGTGTAAGCATAAATTTTCCATAAGGGCTGAAGCTCTTTGCTGGCTGCCTGCCATCTCAGTTGGAGTACAGTCCCATTTTCTTAGTGTTTCTCTCACAGCAGTAACAGGACAATGCTTCAGAAAAACCATTTCTTTTCCTGTCCTGCTGTGTCCTCCTGATTTTACGTTACTCCAACTGTTCCGTTCAGTGATTTGGAAAAAAAAACAAAACAACAAACAATCCTTTTACTCAAAATGAATTTGGAAATAAAACATGTCTACGTTATCACCTCTTCCAGCATTTTGATTTGTAATTATGTCAATAACTGGCTTAGATTTTGAACTGAGAGGGCTTGGGTGTATTACCGAGGAACAAAGGAAGGCTTATATAAATTCAAGTCTTTTATTTAGAAAACTGGCAAGCTGTCAAAAACAAAAAGGCCTTACCACCAAATTAATTTAATAGCCTGCTATCGCCAGTAGGGCCGGCACAAAGGATGGTGGCACGGCACAGCCAGGTTTGTGCAGTGTCCAGCTGTGATTAACACACAGGGTCAGCCACCTCTTCCCCACTCCATTGGTCCTTTTGGGGCTGGAAGAAGACTGAGAGGGGATTCTCCCACACAGCTCATGTGAGATCAGCTCCCATGAGATTACAGGTAGTTCCCTTAAGAAGAATAAAAACGTTCCCTTCTCTTTTTAACTTGAAAAAGTTGGCAAATTTAAAACCACAATTCTGGAATGAATGTGTAGCAGTTTTTGGTTTTTTGTATACCCCCACTTATTTCAGCACTTGCATCTCCTATCACTCCTGTCTCAGGATAAGAGCTGCCAATTTCCAGGTAATCCATAGCCCTGTCCTCCACTGCAGCAGCAAGCCTGTGTAACACAGTCCAGCTCCAACAATCCATCTGCTTCCAGCCCTTCCCCTGTCATCTCACGATGCAGATTATTTTCATTCTGCTTTTGTTCTTGCAGTGGTTTTTCTCTGCTGCTGGCACTATGCCACAACCTGCCTGTGACTCTGAAAACAACTGCTTTGGAAACGACAGCACTTGGTGTAATTTCCTTTATTTCAGAATGTGTAGAGCATGTGTTTGATGACAGTTTTTCAAGTTATGCTGGTTCTTTTTTCCGTTTCATTTTTCTGAGCGTCTCCATACTGGTAATCCCAGTCAAGCCTGTGAACATTCAAACAATGAATCCATTAATGTAGCATTCTCATGGTGATCAGATCTTTATGTGAGGTTTAAAAAAAATGGAAGCTTATTTATTTTTCATTCTTCCATATCAGTCTTCTCTATGACAAATCGCATCCAACACAGCAAATTAAAGGTGAAAGAGGCTGGTGAGAGGAGGGTCTTCTAGCCTTACATTCTTCTTTGTAAGGCCACAGGAAAATGCTGAGAGCTGTAGAATACAGCCTGGGATAAGAAGTTCAGTCTCCTGCTGGGGCAGCTAACCGCATCTTATAACCCTTTCTGAGACTCATCTTAAGATGAAATAGGGTCTATCTGGGGTTTTTGTTCCTACTGGAAGGCTATCTCACTGTTTCATCACTCCCATGGTTACAAACCAAAGATGCAGCCTGATTTTTTTCTAGTCCAGATTATATTAATCTGATCTTGTGCTTATATTGTTCTCTATATAGTTATTTCCCTCCCTGTTGTGTTTAACTCCTTAAGGCATTCAAAACAACTAGAATCAAATAATGGTTTGGATTGGAAGAGACCTTAAATATCACACGTTTCCAACCCCCTGCTGTGGGCTGCTTGCCACCCACTGGCTCAGGCTGCCCAGAGCCCCATCCAACCTGGCCTTGAGCGCTTCCTGGGCAGCCTGTGCCAGTGCTTCACCACTCTCTGAGGAAAGAATTCTCATTTAACATCTAATCTCAATCTCCTCTGTTTCAGTTTAAAGCTATTCCTCTTTTTCCTATTGCTGCCTGTCCAAGAAATGTGTCAGTCTCCCTCCTGCTTATAAGCTCCCTTTAAGTACTGGAAGGCTGCAGTGAGGTCTCCCCACACCTTCTCTTCTCCAGGCTGAACAAGCCCTGCTCCCTCAGCCTGTCTTTGTAGAGGAGGTGCTCCAAACCTCCAGTCATCTTAGTGGCCCTCCTTTGGACCCACTCCAACAGTTCCACAGTTTTCCTGTGGAGCCCCAGGTTTGGATGCAGTACTCCAGATGGGGCCTTACAAAGGCAGAGCAGATGGGGACAATCACCTCCCCCTCCCTGCTGGCTGCCCCTGTTTTGATGCAGCCTAGGATAGTGTTAGCCTTTCAGATTCCCAGAGCCTCTTGCTGATTTATGTCAAGCTTTTCATCCACCAGAACCCACACAACCTGGTTAATACTTCTGCCCTTGCTTCTGTAAGCTTGTTTCAGGAGACTTCCATTCTTTAGGACAGACTGTGTTACACCTACTTGCCCTATTCTTGCATATTTACATTTCAGTTCATGTTTCCTGTAACAGGACAGAATATATATTCCTCTAACAAGAATACATGCAGAATTCCTAGTGCAATCTCAGTAGGGTTTTCATGGTGGTATTAGCACATAGTCAATTTGCTGCAAGTACCTTCCAAATTGCGGCCTCCTATAAATTCTGTATTTGGGATCAGATACAATAGGTAAGCTTTTGTATCTGTGGAGACCCTCAGGCTCTAATGTGCTTACACCATTTTCTGCATCACCCAGTTGTTCTTGTACGACTTCCTTGTTGTCCTCCATTCTTTCCCAGCTTCTATCTTTGACAAATAGAGGCCTCTTTTTGTGTTCGCTTTAGCAGCCACTTAATTCTTCAGTGTCGTCGTCTTGTTCTGTTGATGCCACCGGAACAGGATTTTCAGCAGTCTTGCAAAGAATGTCTAGCTGAAAGCTTTCTGCCATTCGACATTCTTACCAGTTCTTACTGTTTGAGGTGAGAAATAAATTACCACAACTTCGTCATTGACAAGTTTATGCGTTTTACTACTTCTATTATGTAGTTACTTTGACATAACACAGACACGGATATATTTTGCTGGGATTTCCAGAGTGTCAGTGTTTCTGTGTACTTTACAGATCGTTTCACCGTCATTCTTCTGTTATAATCTTGGCAGTCTGTCCAGCTGCCCATCACAAGAAGAGAGATTTCTTTCTTACTAATTCTCTTCGGCCAGTAAACAAGATGTGAGAAACCCAAACAGGAACTTGTGGTGCAGGCTGACATCAAGAGAGAGACAGCTGAAGGGTTGTGTAGCTCAATAGAATTAAGAAATAATAAAGCTGCGTCAGGCAGTGTTGCCTGATTTATACAGGCACACCCCAAGCCAGAGATGCTGTTTGCCAAGGCCACCTTGCAGTCCATGGTTTGTAAAATAAGTCATGGGTAACTTTTCTAGTGAATTGTGTGGAGAATTGTGATGGCAGTTCTTGCCATTTACTGTGGTAAGATGCTAAAATAGGAGACAGCAAATTAACACTTGCTGCTCTACATGCTCTGCCATCTGGGCAGCGATGGTGCTAGCGCACCAAGATAAGGGATGCTCCCAGCTGATGGATGCTGGAGCAGTAATGGTGGGTCCCATGCTGCCTGCTCATTAGCATTGCCTCGACCTTCACCAGCCCATCAGAAGGATCATCCCAAGCTGAGGAAAACTGCTTATCTTCTGCACATCATCAAACCTCTGGCCTGACTGATGCCTCTCAGATGCTTAAATGTGGTCACTGACATCTCTGTTTTTCCACGATTTCAAGTCAGAACTGCCGGATGGGAGGGAACAGATAGTGGGAATGTACCCCCAGCTCCAAGGCCAGATCTTCCTTTAATGATCGTGCATGCTACTTAGGAGGGTGTGTGTACGTGAATGTAGAATTGCCTTTGCTATTTTTTCTTTTTCATGCTGTCAGGAACATTTTGAATACCAGAGAAAAAGAAAAGTGCTCTTCTTGGCATGAGAGAAGTTGTCACACTTGCAAAATAAAGGATGCAGTCCCAAATGTTCATAATCTCAGGGTCTGAAGGAGGATCAGAAACCATGTATACAATTTTAGGCTTCTTTGAATGCAGCTTTCGAAAGCTGTTTCTGGCTGAGGCACTACTAGTGAGTATCCTCAGAAACAGGAACAAATGTCTTTAAGGTGCAGCAGGAGGAAACACCTTGCCCATTATGAAAGTGAATAACCACAGTCCCTGAAGGAATTCAGCTCCTGTTTAAGCCAGTACTGCACACTCCTATGAAGTCTGTCGAAACAACAGTGCGTTTTTATAGGACTTCCAGGAAGGATCTTCTTAAGCTTCTTAATTATGGTACATCTGCAGTTGGCAGATGTCTACTGGCAGGAGAATGAGGAACTAGCTGGGAATATTTCTGTTTGACCACCATGAAGTCACCCGTTTCTTTACTGGTATTTAGAAATAATAATTGTGAATTGCAAAGCAGGATTTTGCTAAGATTTTCATTTCTTCCCTGTTGATGACAGCACAGTTCTGGCTGTGAAAGTCTGCTTACAAGAAAGAGGGTCAAAATCATACGGATAATAAATCTAAGTTTGAAGACAATGAGGTTTTAGCTGCATTTATCATGAAGAAACTGAGATCTTTACTGGATAGCTAGGGTAGTTATTGCTTAGTTATTTATTGACCCCAGCAGAGGTCAAATAAGAATCCATCTCTCAGGACCTGAGATGGATTGGCATACAACTTTTTTAGCAGTGATTTAGGGTTTATTAATACTTTTGCAGTAAATCACAGGGTTAGTAATGTTACTCTTAGGAAAAAAAAAAAAAAAGCCAAGTCTGACAGACATCCCAGCTCAGCTGGGAATCAAAGATCACAGCTCAGTGCAGTCCGAGAGAACAGAAGGGACTCTTCTCTTAGGCCCTTTATTTATAGGGCCTCAAGATAACTGACATTGGTCAGAAAACTTTCCATTCTGGCTACAGTTCAGGTGAGGCAGTCCTGGAATTTTCTCTCAGCTGTACAGTTCCAGTAATCCCAGTTTGTACAGTTCTGTCACTTTTTGGGTCAGGCTGTGATCCAAGGAGCAGGAGTTCCAGGTATGGTCAGGGACTGCCTGACCGTCCCACCTCACTGCACTCAAACAAAGGTGAAACCACAACAGTGACTTTTGTTGAAATTGCAGTGTGGCCCAGATGGGCTGAACCAGTATTTATTGACCACGAGGCAACGTTAATCCTCAAAAAGTGCAACTTGCAGCCATTAAATTGAACTAACTGATACTGCAATGCAATCAGTATCATCAAGTGGTTTGGCTTGGAATATGGAGTCTAGGAGCTCTATAGGAGCAGCTGCTCTCTAGTGGAATTGTATTTTGAAGCTGATCTCCTAAAGAGGCTCCTAAACATTAGGGTCAGTTTTCCAGTGCACTTTCTGAAGTGTCTGCAGTTCCCCATGTAAAGCTGCCCAAACAGCACTTCCAATTGAATACAACTATATGCAGGCAGACTGCTTGTTGCCAGCACCCTCCTTATGAAATGAACTCAGCAAACAACAATTTCAAAGTCTGGTAGAAAGTAACATTAAAAAGTATACCTGCTTTCAGTAGTTCAGCTTATTTATGCATCTTGTACAAGCTGAACATCAGGGCTCCAGATTAGTGGTAAAACCGACTTCATAGAATGATAGAATCATAGAATGGGCTTGGGTTGGAAAGACCCCAAGGGTCATTAACCTCCAACACCTCTGCCACAGGCAGGGCCACCAACCTCCAGATCTGGTACCAGACCAGGCTGCCCAGGGCCCCATCCAACCAGGCCTTGAACACCTCCAGGGACAGGGCATCCACAACCTCTCTAGGCAGCCTGTTCCAGTACCTCACCACTTTCTCTGTGAAGAACTTTCCCCTGACATCCAATCTAAGCCTTCCCACCTTGAGGTTAAATCCATTCCCCCTCGTTCTATCATGGTCTACTCTTGTAAAAAGTTGATTCCCCTCCTTTTTATTATGCCCTTTTAAAAAGTGGAAGGCTGCAATGAGGTCTCCTCGCAGTCTTCTCTTCTCCAAGCTGAACAAGCCCAGCTCCCTCAGCCTGTCTTTATAGGAAAGGTGCTCCAGCCCTCTGATCATCTTTGTGGCTCTCCTCTGGACCCTCTCCAACAGCTCTCCATCTTTCCTGTACTGGGGGCCTCAGGCCTGGATGCAGAACTCCAGATGGGGCCTCAAAAGGGCAAAGTAAAGAAAGACAATCACCTTCCTCACCCTTCTGACCACCCCTCTTCTGATGGAGCTCAGGATACCACTGGCTTTCTGAGCTGTAACTTCTCCTTATTAGTTCCACTACCAAAACAGGAACAATACAACAGGTGCTGATGGCTAGTGCAGAGAGTTCTTCACACTTCTTCATTTCGGTAAATCTTAGATGAGGAATGTTGAAGTTGAGCCTTCTGCACGTGCTCTTTCCTCCCCAAATACCAAGCCTGATGCTTTCCCCCACCTGCCACTGAATGGCTCCATGGCCCCCTGCACCCAGAGCCCTGATGAACCCAGCATTGCCTCAGACACTGTGAAATAGCACAGCATGACCAAATTGCACCTATTAATGCACAAATGATGTGTTGTATCCTTCAGCACTTGAGAAGAAGAGCCAAATTTGCATTGTCAGGTAATGGTTTAGTAATTCCGTCAATTAAAACTTGTTTATTTACTATTGCTATTTTTATTATGTTGTTAGTAGTGATACGTTGATGATGAATAGTGGCCATGCAGTAAAATCAAGAATGTAGATATTGCAATAGACTATAAAATTCCTCTGTTGATTAGCTAACGTGGTACTTCCCATATTTTATAAGAAATTTGGCAAGTTTAGAGTGATGTTTTAAGTGTTGGGAAATTTCTGTATACTCAAGAGGGTGTTTTTGACAACTGTAGAACAGAGAAATCAAAAGGGGGTGGGAGGAATTTAAAAGAAGAGGCAGGTGCAAGAGAGCCAGCAGTCCTGCTGTGTGCACGACACTGACAACATGAGGTCTTTGCTAATCTTGGTGCTTTGCTTCCTGCCCCTGGCTGCTCCGGGGAAAGTCTATGGACGATGTGAGCTGGCAGCAGCTATGAAGCGTATGGGACTTGATAACTATCGGGGATACAGCCTGGGAAACTGTAAGTCTGTACTCTTGTGACTTCCAGGGAGCACATGGGGTGGGAATTTCCATTTAACAAACTTCTTTAAAGTGAGCAGGTCTGCGTGATGTTGGAATTTAGCTATTAAGAAGCCATCGGGTTAGTCCATCTCTGCTTGCACAGACTGCAGGTATTTTCTACAGATTTTCCCTTTACTTCTCCTTTCCTATAGTTCTTCCTCAGCTGAACAGAGATGCTGTCATCGGAAAGGTTTCCCAGAAGCAGCCTGCCCCATTCTACCTCCTCAGATCCTAAGTGCTCTGGTTTTACTTGCTTCAGTTCCTTCCTCTGCAGATGTTCCCAAGGCTGTGAAGCAAGTGGAAGCAGAGTGTGGAGCCACGCTGGGCAGAGACACTGGTGTCAGGCTGGCTTGGTGGGGATTGCTACAAGGAGTAGTGGGGGAGAAGGGATGCTGAGCATGCTGATGTGGGAAGGTCAGTCAGAAAGAAAGTGGGCTGAGAGGGGATCCTAGAGTCAAGGAGTGAGGGGCCACTTGAAAGCTTCTTTCCTCTGGTGGGAACTGACAACAGATTATTGTTAAACCAGTTTCCTTTGAAGGGAAGCATGCATGCATTCTGTTCCCAGATCTGGAGAGCAATCCATCATGTTCACAGCTGAAACATGAATTGCTGTCCCCATCCCTCCTCCTTCCTGCTGCCCTGACATGGATGCAGCAGCACGTAAATAGGACAAAATGAGGCCATCATAAGCCACGTAAAGTAGAAGCGGCTGAAATAAGCCTCATTAAGGTGAGCAGGTATTGATGCAGAAAGATCACGGAGTGTGCCTGGCAGCAGGAGCAACACGAGCAGCCCTGTTCAGATGCATCTGCACTGCTGCCAAAAACACCACCTGTGAGATGTGCCAGGGCTGCCCAAAGCTTCCAAGAGTGGTAGGAGCTGCACTGCAGAGCCCAGCCTGCCCGCCAGCATCCTGAGACATGATAAGTGTTTCTTTATATAGGGAGCAATGCACAAAAGCATGCTGGAATTTATTTTTAAGAGTAGAAATCCTGCGCCAGGTTTACTAAGGACGTTTTGAAGTTAAGACATGTTGCATGTGTTTTTCACACTTGGTTGGATTGGAAAAACTGTGTGCTCTGGACACAGTCATCTTTCAATTAAGAGAAGAGATGGATTGTGTATCTTCATAAATAAGTCAGATACAGATTTAAAATAATAAACTTAGCGAGTTTTTTTTCTTTTGAATGGAACTTTGACAGGGGTGTGTGCCGCAAAATTCGAGAGTAACTTCAACACAGGTGCTACAAACCGTAACACCGATGGGAGTACCGACTACGGAATCCTGCAGATCAACAGCCGCTGGTGGTGCAATGATGGCAGGACCCCAGGCTCCAAGAACCTGTGCCATATCCCATGCTCAGGTGAGCTCAGTTTCTCAAGGCAACAAATGCCCTTCCATACTACATGTGCTAGTAGATGAGCAAAGGTTGGTTACAACCCTATCTTTAGAACAAAGCAGAACAAAATTCAAACTCACTCTTCTCATTTTCAAAAAGGAGATCTGCACTGTAGCCATGCACATGTGAGAGGAAAAAGTTTCCTAATGGCAGGAACTGTGTTCCCCTGTCTACCCATCTGAATGTTTCTAGAGAAAAGAGGTTTCAGAAAAGCTATTTATTAATTAGCAGCGACACTAACCTCTGGAAATTTTTCTTTGAAGGTAGGAAGAGCTAGACCCTTGCAAGATATTGTCTGAAATGCCACTTCCCCATCCCATTAGTAGAGGGGGGGAGAGGTGAACAGATTCGTGAATCCCCCCCGATTAGATTAAGGTGAAGTGACACTCAAGGTCTGTACACAAAAAGGAAAAAGCATCATTTTTAATAGGAGATTTCTATGAAACAGTCATCCTATATGCATTTGCTCTCCCACAGTTATTTCTACCTAAATACCATCCATGTGGGATCTAGTCTCTGCAATGGCAGGTGTAGGGAGGAAAACATTTTGATCATGTATTCTGTTATGTTCATCTGTACGGCCAAACAACTTAAATAATGCATCCCTGCAACGCCAACTCATTTTGACGAGGACAAGGAATACCTACACAGGTAGGTAGGACCAACACATTTGAGGGAAAATAATTTGTAGGCAGCGTGAAAACGGGACAGCAGCAGAGGTCAAGGTAACCATACTGTAACTGTAGGCTTTCTCATCAGCCTGTGTCCAACACAGCATGGGTCTTATGCTACCAGCTAATTTGTGATGCCTTCTTCACCCCCAAAATGGCCATGTTCACAGGGAAAGCAAAATAGAAAAGGCTAAAATCTTTCTTTCTCACATCCTTTTAGTTAGGATTTCAGTTTTGTTTCAAGTATGGGCATTTAGAACAGTGCAATAACCCTTTTATCTTTCTAGAGCACAGCTGAATGGATGGTTATCTGCCAAGAAAGTCAACTAACAATGCATCTAGTTACCATAGGCAAAACAGTTTGGTTGCAGATTAACCATAAAATGATGGCAGAAAGTCATTTGTTGTCACACTAGTAGCCACATGCTATATTCTAACTCTATCTTCCAAAGACAAATGCATGAAATAGATCTTCCTTTTGCAGCCTGGATTATTCTGCATCATTTGTGGCTTTGCTTCACTCGGCTTTCTCTGCTTGCATTCTGATAGCTGGAAGTCGCTAAAGAAAAATTCTTTGGTTTTCCTTCTAACTTAGAAAGAGAGGGACAGAGAAACTGCCACGCATCTCAGGGCTTTGTTCTTTACTCAGAGAGTGGTGAGGTGCTGGCACAGGCTGCCCAGAGAGGTTGTGGATGCCCCGTCCCTGGAGGTGTTCAAGGCCAGGTTGGATGGGGCCCCCGGCAGCCTGGTCTAGTATTAAATGGGGAGGTTGGTGGCCCTGCATGTGGCAGGGGGGCTGGAGATTCATGATCCTTGAGGTCTCTTCCAACCCAGGCATTGTTTGACTCTGTGATCCCTTACCAAAGACCAGCTGGGCACAACAGACGTCCCAGAGATGAATAAGGATCTCTGTTGCAGTCAGACCACAGAATGGGTATCTGGAAGCCCAGGGTGGCTGGCTGCACGCTTCTCCCAGGCTTCCCTTTCCCCAGGTCGTGGTGCATCTCTTACTGTTTGCCCTCACACTGTGTCTGTCTGTGTGTGCTGCACACACTGGCACTGCTCCGCTCGACCAGGACTGCTCATTGGCATCTGGTTTAAGCAGACACCGTGCAGGCCACGGGAATGGGGAGCAAAACGCTCAACACCAACACACTGATCGCCTGAAGACGATTAAAAGTAAAATCATGAAATGACGCCTTTCCTGCTTCCCTTCTTAAGCACTGTTGAGCTCAGACATAACAGCGAGCGTGAACTGCGCAAAGAAGATCGTCAGCGATGGAAACGGCATGAATGCATGGTAGGTGGTGAGGAGAGGAGAGGAGAGGAGAGGAGAGGAGAGGAGAGGAGAGGAGAGGAGAGGAGAGGAGAGGAGAGGAGAGGAGGGAAAGGGAGAGGGGAGAGGCCTCAGCGCCGACGGCAGCGCCATCCCTCACCGCTCCATCTCCCTCCGCTCAGGGTCGCCTGGCGCAAACACTGCAAGGGCACCGACGTCAACGTGTGGATCAGAGGCTGCCGGCTGTGAGGAGCCGCCTCGCCCAGCCCGCCCGCCGCACGGCCGCCCGCTTCGCTATCGCTATCCCCGCTTGGCAGTTTTAGACGCATTCCTCATTAAAACCACCATCCGCAAACGCCTTCCCGTCGCTCCGCGCCTCTTTCCGCCGCCAGGGCGCCACTCGCGGGGCGGGCGGGGCGCGGCGGGGGCCGGGCGGGAGCTCGCGGCCAACCGGCGGCCAACGGGCGCCCCGTGACGGCGCCGCCCCGCCCCCGTGACGCGATGCGGGCGCCGGGGCCGCGGGGCTGAGCGCTGCGCTGCGTCTGCGGCGGGGCCGGGCCGGGCCGGGGCGGGAGCTGAGCGCGGCGCGGCTGCGGGCGGCGCCCCCTCCGGTGCAATATGTTCAAGAGAATGGCTGAGTTCGGGCCTGACTCCGGGGGCAGGGTGAAGGTGCGGCGCGGGCGGAGGGACGGGGCGGGCGCGGGGCTCGTCCGGCGGGTGCCGGGGCCTCTGCCGGCCCGCCCGGCTCGGGCTGCCGCGGCGCTTACGGGCGCGCTTCTCGCCGCTGCCGCTTCTCTTCTCTCCCGCGCAAGGGCGTCACCATCGTGAAGCCGGTAGTGTACGGGAACGTGGCGCGGTACTTCGGGAAGAAGAGGGAGGAGGACGGGCACACGCATCAGTGGACGGTTTACGTGAAGCCCTACAGGAACGAGGTAGGGCCCGAGCGCGTCGGCCGCCGCTCTCGAAGCGCCCGCGCCGTCGGCGCCGTGCCCGGGTGCGCTGTGGTGTGGGGCTGAGCCGGCTTCTCTCCTAGGACATGTCCGCCTACGTGAAAAAAATCCAGTTCAAGCTGCACGAAAGCTACGGGAACCCTCTCCGAGGTGGGTGTTGTGTCGGGGCGTTTGCTCCCCTCGGTCCCGCTGAGGCTCATCGCCCTCATCTCTGTTTCGTGCTGCAGTCGTCACCAAACCGCCGTACGAGATCACCGAAACGGGCTGGGGCGAATTTGAAATCATCATCAAGATATTTTTCATTGACCCAAACGAGCGGCCTGTGAGTACGCCGAGCTTCTGATAGGGCTTCTGCCATTCTGGTGGCTTGGAGCTGGGCTGCTTTGTACTGCCAGTCACGGCCCACCAGCCACGGAGCTGATAGAGCTCACTTTTCCAGGAAACGTGCTCTGTATTCATTCAATGGGTGCCTGTGTTTGCTGAGCTCTGTGCCGCACTGCAGGCTGAGGCTTCTCGGACGGCTTTAGCTGCACAGGGCTTCTCTGGTGCTTAGCAGTACAGGAACACATTGCACTGCATCTGAACTACAGCAATGATAAGGCTGTGGAAACCACTCTCAAACTGATTTATTGGCAAAATGGCTCTAAACTAAATCGTCTCCTCCGTTTGGAAATGCTTTAGAGAAGGTCTTTGTGGTAGTTCTTATGCTTCTATCCTCAAGCACTTGCCCAGACGATGTAAAGACATCAAGCTGCATTTATAGCAGGCGTGTTTAATAATGAATACTGAATTTAAGTAACTCTGCTGATGTTGTATGATGTTTATTTTCGTATTCCTAAAAGCATTTAAAATCCTATGCAGTTGTTTAGTAAGAAAAGCTGCTACTGTTTTGTATCTAGGAGATAATTGGTGTTTCCCTACAGTTGTCAAGCTGGTAAAGCTCTCTCTTTGTATCTAGGTAACCCTGTATCACTTGCTGAAGCTTTTTCAGTCTGACACCAATGCGATCCTGGGAAAGAAAACTGTAGTTTCCGAATTCTATGATGAAATGGTATGAAAATTTTAATGTAAACCATGCCTGACTTTATTTAGCAAAGTATTAATGGTACTGTGTACTTTGGTCCTTCCTTAGATATTTCAAGATCCTACTGCCATGATGCAGCAACTGTTAACAACGTCCCGTCAGCTGACGCTTGGTGCTTACAAGCATGAAACAGAGTGTAAGTGCAAAATGAGAATACCTTCACCAACCGTCATTTACTATTAATGTTTTCTGTGGGACGTGATCATACAATGAGTTTGGCTGCGTGAATTTTGAATAGCTTGGTATTAGCAGTGACAGCATGATCACAGAATCACAGAATGGCCAGGGTTGGAAGGGACCTCAAGGATCATGAAGCTCCAACCCCCCCACCACAGGCAGGGCCACCAAGCTCCACATTTAATACTAGACCAGGCTGCCCAGGGCCCCATCCACAAGGCCAAAATGGCCTTCAGCACCTCCAGGGATGGGGTGTGATTGATGCCTAGCTTATCATATTTGAAGAAGAATAAATGCAGGCTGCTTTATTTGAGATAGTTCGGTTGATTTTATGAAGGTGTGAACTGCAAGCAAATATTATACTTCCTCACTGAATTTCACTGTCCAGAAGTATAAAATGTGTGGGCTCTCCATGGAGGGATCCATGACTGAGGGAGATCTGATCACTATCTCCCATTTCTTTTGCTGTTACCAGTTGTTGAGATTATTTTTCACCTAATCTTTAATTCTCGAGATTTTGTTGTTTTCCTTTGTCATAGTTTTTGTTTTTCACTCTGGCAAATGATACTTTGAATTACACTGTTACACTGTACACAAAACTGATAGACTGAATGAGTTCATCAAACAAACTTTTCTTCTTCCATAATTCCACTTTTTTTTCCAGTTATCATTTTTACTACTGTTGTTGAGTCTGTAAGGCTAAAAGTAATTGTTTTGCATTTTTTCAGAACATGTGCTTTCCAAATTACTGCCACATGTATAAAGTCGAAATTTGAAAGGTAATTCATATTTCTTTTTTTTTATTGCCATCACAGTTGCAGATCTTGAAGTAAAAACCAGGGAAAAGCTGGAAGCTGCCAAAAAGAAAACCAGTTTTGAAATTGCTGAGCTTAAAGAAAGGTTAAAAGCAAGTCGTGAAACCATCAACTGTTTAAAGAGTGAAATCAGAAAACTTGAAGAGGATGATCAGTCTAAAGATATGTGATGAGTGTTGGTAAGGAGCCTGTAATGAGGATGAAAGGACTTCAGTCGTGGAGTTGTATGCATTCTCTCCAATTCTATAATGGAGACTGTATGAATTTCATTTGCAAATCACAGCAGAGTGTGGCAACTGACTGTTTATAAATGGGAGAAAACAAGAATGAATGTATCCTCATTTTATAGTTAAAATCTATGGATATGTACTGATTTATTTCAAGGAGAAGGGATCGTAGAGACTTGGAGGCCAGACTGCTGCTTTTGACTGCATTTGAGTGGTATAGGAACATTTTGTATACGGTCCTGTGTTAGTTTACAGAACGCCACTGTTTACTGTTCTTGTTTTGTTTTTTACTTTTTCTACTGCAACTTTAAGGTTTTAAAAGTTGAAAATAAAACATGCAGGTTTTTAAATATTTTTTTGTCTCTATCCAGTTTGGGCTTCAATTATCATTGTTAATAGCAAGTCCTGATTTAAGTCAGAGGTTGAAATGTAATGGTATCCAAGATGCTTAAGTCTGTTATCAGCAGAACAAAAAAAAAAACCCTTCATAAAATAAAAAAATAGCATTTTTTAATAACTTCTTTATCAACAGATAAGAGTTTCTAGCCCTGCATCTGCTTTCACTTATGTAGTTGATGCCTTTATATTTTATGTGTTTGGATGCAGGAAGTGATTTCTGCTCTGTTTTGTGGATACTCTATTTAACACTTGTACTCTGCTGTGTTTAGCCTTTGAAAAATCCATGAATCCAAAAGCCATGAAAAAATCAGTGCATGATCTTTGGCTTGTAAATCTCCCTCTTCTTTTGTAGCCTGATAGAGATGGCAGACCCTCGGGTTTATAAAGGCTTGGGCGTCTTCTTTGCTACTTTGAGATTCTGTGTTGCAGTTACCTCTGGCAGAGAGGAGAAAAACCCCACAAACCTCATCCCCTTCTTCTATAGAAATCAGTATTACTAGTGCTTTGAGAACAAAGCACTGGTTTGAAACAATTGATAATTAGCATTTAACATGGCTTGGTAAAGATTCAGAGCTGAAATAGTTGTGACGATATGAACTCAGTATGGAGACTTCACTGAGAAAAACAGCTGTTAAAATCGGGCATGTTTCATTGAAGAGGATGGGGCAGTTTGCATGACACAAATCCCTCCTGGAGCTGCAGACCAATTTTTCTGGCATTCTGTCTGCCATTGCTGCTGATCACAGAGAGCAACTGTTTTTATCAGCCACAGGCAATTTGCTTGTATTGTTTTTCAAGCATTGTAGGTAAGTATAAATACATTGGCTCCATAGCACTTCGAGTATACTTACTAAAACATAAATGAAAGACAAATTTGCTTTGCTTGGGTGCGTAGGACATTTGTAATTCCAACCTGCTTTTTGTTAGAGGCTGTCTTCTGAGGCTAGAACTGACTTTGACAAGTAGAGAAACTGGCAATCGAGCTATTGCTATCGAAGGATCCTTGTTAAGAAAGTTAATTGTCTTTTAAGGTATGGTTTATTCATTAAATTTGCTTTTAAGCAGTAGCTGAAAAAGAATGTGCTGTCTTCCAAACACCAGGTGGCAGCTCTGTGCAAAGTGATTTCTGGTCCCGGCCTCTTGATTGCCGGGATTCTAGCGCGTCTGGGAGGGCTCAGACCGATTTCATTTGGTTAAACAACGTGTCCTGCTTTCTGTAGACATGACCGGTTTCTCTCCTGCAGTTTATGAAACTGTTCAACGGCAAACGATATGTACTGAGAGAGGAAACAAATACAAGTGCTACTGTTTGCAGGTTTTGTTCATTTGGTAAAGGAGTCAGGTTTTAAAGTTCAAAATCTGTTTGTTTGTTTGTTTGTTTATTTTAATTTGTTTGGGGTTCTTTTTAGTGCTTTATCTTTCTTTGCCAGGACTGTGTGACAGTAGGAATGAAAAAGAACGTGCCAGGCAATCTCCTGGCTTGCATACTTTAGCAGAACTGCCGGTCTTTCCACAAATGTTATTTTTTAAACTTAATTTTAATAGCGTTAGTAGACTTCCATCACTAAGCATTGCTCAGTGAACTTTTAACTTACAACTATGTTGGAAGTTTTGATATTCCTGAATGCAGTAGGGAAGAACAGATTAACTATGAGAAAAGTAGATTATGAGTATCAGGATGACGAAAAGTACAGAAACAGTGAGAAATTCTTCTTATACATGCATCTTGTTGTAACTAATTGGGATTTGTTTAAACGTTCACTTACGCTACATTCATACTAGTTCCATTTAAAAATAGCAAAAGATAAAACGTGAAATCGTGATTTTCAGATGGAACACTGCCTTCCTATGCACCTGACCAATTTCCAGAGAAAAAACCTCTTGAAAGCCGAGAGTTTAAGCCACCAAAAGAACTCATTTGCATTGGAATATGTAGTATTTGCCCTCTTCCTCCCGGGTAATTGCTATACTTTATAGGGTGCTTATATGTTAAATGAGTGGCTGGCACTTTTTATTCTCACAGCTGTAGGGAATTCTGTCCTTTAGGACAGAAACAATTGTAATCTGTTCTACCAGTGACTCTATTGTCAGTACTTCCACTTGAAGAGATTCTTCAATGTCTAGTTCTGCAATATTTGGCAAATCTCACATCTTATTTCATTCTCTATTCATGCCTATGCTTATTAAAGCATTAATCCGGGTCATTTTTGTTTTAATTGCTGTCCTGATCTGAGTGATGACTACCTAAAGCTCAATTCAGGTCCTAAACCTCTTCAACTCTCCATAGCTAACAGGAAGAATCTTCAAAAGTTAGGTTTGAGGGACTTATGGCTAACTGTAGATGTTACTTCCTAGTATCTGCACGGAAGGCTGTGTAGTAGTTAGAGCATTCAACCTCTAAACCATAGAAGATTTTTCTTGAGGAAGACTGAATCTTCATTCCATGTTTTGTACAGCTTCATAACCATGAGGTCAAGATGGCATTCTCCATCACTGCTATTCACTATAGCATAGAGAGTCAGATCTGCATGAGGTCTCTAGAATGGGACAGGGAACAGGCAAAGGAAAACCAAAATGTAGCACAGTGATTAGAGCACTGGAAACAAAAAATGAAGTATTCTTTTTAGAGCTGAAACTGTCCCCATCTCTACTGGCTATCTTAGAAGAGAGGTAGAGCCTCAGTATATCCTAGGATATCTCCTGGGATGGGGCATCCACTACTCTCTGGGCAACCTGGTCCTGTGCCTCACCATTCTTATTGTAAAAAATCATCTTCCTTATATCCAATCTAAATCTCTCCTCTGTTAGTTTGAAATCATTTCCCTTTGTTCTGTCATAACAGACCTTGCTAAAGAGTCTGTCCCCTTCCTTCTTTTAGATATTGTAAAGCTGCTATCAGGTCTCTCCAGAAGCCTTCTCTTCTCCAGGCTGAACAGCCCCAGCTCTCTGAGCCTGCCCTCATGAGACAGGTGTTCCATCCTTTGGATCATTTTTGTGGCCCTCCTCTGGACACACTCCTCCAGGTCCACATCTCTCCTGTACTCCACATCTGAATGCAGTACTCCAGGTGAGATTTCACCAGCGCAGAACAGAGGGGCAGGATCACCTTGCTTGATCTGCTGGCCGTGCTACTTTTAATGCAGCCCAGGATAAGGTTGGCTTTCTGGGCTACAAGGGCACATTGCTGGCTCATGTCCAGTTGCTATACCCCCAGGTCCTTTTCAGCAGGGTTGTTCTCCATCCTTACATCCCCAAGCTTGTACTGATGGGGGGGTTACCACTACCCAGGCACTAAACCTTGCACATGGATTTGTTGAACCTCATGAGATTCTCCTAGGCCCACTGCTGGAGCCTGCCTGGGTCCCTCTGGATGGTATCCTGTCCTTCAGGCATGTCGACTGCACTACACAGCTTGGTTTCATTCACAGATGTGCTGAGGGTGCGCTCGATCCCACTGTCAATGTCATTGATGAAGATGTTAAAGAGCACTGGTCCCAGTACCCACTCCTGAAGAACACCACTTGTCACTGATCTCCATCCAGACACTGAGCCACTGGCAGGCATGCTGTGGGCAATGTAAACAGAGTGCAAAATAGCTCTGGTGCACAGCCAACTACCAGGCCTCAGGCAGCAGTCTGCTCCTGGGACAGCAATTGATGCTCTGAGTATCTCGTCACTGTTGTTTGCTAGTCCTGCTTCCTGCTAGACTCATTCTACAGTATTTTGCAGCCATGGATCCACTTGTAATCTCAAAGAGCTAATGTGATCTATCTGTATTAATGAAATTGTGTTTCAATTCTGCTTACTTTTTATCAACAAACAAGCAAGGAGTCCTAGTTGTGCATTTGCAGAGAATAGAGAAGATACATTTCTAAGGCTGTGAATTCTTTCTAGCATTGTTTTTGGTTTTGTTTCATCAAGGATAAAAGGTGGGAACAGAGTGGTTACTGTAAAGATGATTAAATTGCTTTATATGCATTTGTGTTACATTTTTTGAAACAGATTGACACAGTGCGCGCATTTTAAAAATGGAGAAGTAGTAAAAGCTTTCATGGTCTTACTGTCTAAAAAGTGAAATTTAATTAAAATTTGTTTATAGCCTAATCTGATCCCATGCGGTACTGAATGCTCACGGTGTCCTGCTTGTGCATTTGGAGCTGGAAATGCTTCATACTCCACTAAGACAATCTAACTTTCAGTTTGTGAAATGGCTGGGTTTCAGTTAGACCTCCTGTGGATGGAGGTAATAAATCAATAAATGGAGATGCTACATTTTCAGTTGAAAGGCCACTTACTTCAGCAATGTTTTATATGTCACGATAGGCAGACTTTACAGCATTCCTTTATAAGGATTAAGCTCAAGCTCTCAGAAGCCTGGTAGCCACCTATGTGTAAGTTTAAAGAAACACTTTGTCTCATTTGCCACTCAGCCATTGCTGCTGTATGCCCTCACCATTGACTTTGCATTTTCTTGCAGTGTATTTTGTATATTTGCCCAAAGAGATGCCCTTTGGAAGTTCCTCCTCCCTCCCTATTTTTGTGCTACAGCTCTTCTATCACTTTCGTCAAACAATAAAAAACAAAGACCTGTAAGACAAAAAGAACTTGGTTCTGTTGCTGCTATTGATCTCAGAGTTTTATCTGACACTATAGTCCACTAGTTTCAGCTTTACCTGAATCCTGAGATGGATTGTGAAACAAATTCGAATACGTTTTGTAGTAATCTAACACTTGCACATAAGCAGTGCTCTGTGCTTGGTTGGTGCCATTATACCTGTGTTACCCTGTGCAAAAAATGTCCAAACAAACCCAAACCCTGAGGCTGAACCTTTACTGAAGTGGCTCTGATGCAAAAACAAAATTCAGGAGTTTATGTGTTTTCTTTTTAGTAACAGTAACATTCTGTAATCTGTATGTAACAGTAAATCATTGCTATATCACTGTGTCAGACAC